GGTCTTTTCCAGCCTTAATGATTCTGTGAGTTTCTAGCCGCATTTCTTGCATCAGTGGCCATCCAGGGAATCTCCGTCATTATTTCTCCTTTGAACATTTGTGTCAATGTAATGAGCAAACCTGTGACAAATTTAGGCAGTAGAAAGAATGACAAAATGGTGATATTTTCTGAGTGGGGAGGAGAAACAGAAGGAAAAAATATGTATTTAGTAGATTCTATTCCTACATGTAGAAATAGGGTTGAAAAGGAAAATTCAAAGTTTGATTTTTGCCTGAATTTGCCTTAAACTAGATTGTCTGAGATTTCACCTGCTGAGAAAAAAAATCTCTAGAAAACCCAGAGATTTAATCATAACTTCAGTACAGCATTATCCACAATGAGTTCAAATCTTAAATGAGTTCAAGTGAAATTTGTATTTGAATGAGAGGGATTTTTGGGAACTAAATATGTAGACCTTTGCCTAAATCTCACTTAAGTTTACCACCTTTGATGTATTTTCAGTTGGGATACTTAGCTTCCTTTTGCTCTGTAGAGATACACAAGTGACTTTTTCCTTAAGTTTCTTCATTACTTTCAGTATTTTGTTAATGTTAACTTCTTCATATCAAATGTCTGTATAATTCCACTGTTTTGCACGTTTGTCATTCAGATCTCTGTAGATACAGCGCATGGTTACACTCCTCGAGCAATTGACATGAGCAATGTCACCCTCTCCAGAGACTTACATGTAAGTCAGAAACGTTTAATATACCTACCCTTTTTTCACAATTTAATTTTTTCTTTTCTTATAGTTTATTTTAAACAAATTTGGTGCCTTGTATTACTTTCTTTGATATGCTTTGATTTTGAGTTTGTTTTTTTGTCTTTTTCATCATTGCTTTTTGATTCTCTGTTGCTTTAAAAAACATGGTTCATGTTGAAAAGCTTCAAAGTTTATTTTAGTCCTGGATTGATTTTCTATGGTCTCTCTGTGAACATCTGTCATTTTGAAGAGAATCCTGTTTAGGAGAGCTTGCAGCATCAGCTTTTTTGTGTTTATCATTCATTCCTCCACCATTTTCCCAAAACATTTTGTCATTGCTCTTTTTTCTATGAGATAAGAATCAGGAACCATTGTTACAACACATATTATGAGACCAGAGAATGAATAAATTTGGGATAGGATTTTGACAGATCTATCAGTAGATTGCTGTTCTTTGGAATAATATTTTTTAGTTGATAAATGATGTTTCTGTCTTTAGAAAGGGTTTTTTTCATTGTGTTTGGAGTTTGGTGCTAGTTTTTACAGTCTATTAATTTACTGTGAGCATGGTTACAATATTATGTAGACATATATTGGATAGTTTTAAATTAGTTAGCATAGTTTCCAGTTTTATATTTCTAACCATTGTAGATTGCTGACTAGCTTTACAATAAGAATTTGCTGCCAATTAACTATCATACTTGAGTTAAAAAATTCAGTAGATTGCCAATACATTCCAAAGGGTTAATAAAATTAATAATTCATTAACACTACTTCTATCATTGCACTCAACTTAAACTGGTGGAACATCTTCATTATAATTACATCATTTAACATTTGTGTAGACTCAGCATAGTCAAAAGACTGTGAAGACTTTGTTTAATGCTCATGAGTCAACTCTTGATGTGAACATCATCTTAGTATTGTGATGCAGTAAACCAAACCAATAGAAAAGTAACCAGCCTGTCACAAAACAGAAGAGAAAGGGCATTAGAACTTCTATTACTCCCTTGTTTATTCTTTTATGCTATACCCTCTAACATTTGTCATTAATTTATTTCCTTTGTAGCCCTCAGCTATAAAGCAGAGCTGGTTGGCTTTATGATTCATTTGTCCTAATTATGAAGAGATGTCTTCTTTGAAACCAGCTTCAAAATCTATTATTTAAAAGCTAAGCAAATTTAATTCAAATGCAATTTCAGATATTAATTGTCCTGATACTGTCATTCAGGAAATACCCAAACATGTTAGGTAATAATGAGATCTGAGTTTTAAAAATGACCTATATGTAATTTTGGACTTTTTAAATGTTTAATATCTTTGAAGTTGGAGTTCAGTGTTAGATTCTTCAATCTTATTTTAATTGCTGGGAAAAGTTAGTTGTTTTGAATGAAGTTGTTTGGGTTTTTTTTAACTAGCAACATAAGAATTGATGCTACTTAATGCTTGCATCATCCTGTGCATATACTGTGCTAGCAGGGATCATGACCATGTCTAAAACTCTAAGTCTGGGAAATACTTCTTGTTTTAGTCTTAAGTGGTCACCTGGTCACATCCTGGCTCCATGAGTAGCTAGGTCTTGCTCTGAGACCGTCTTCATAGCACACTGCTTTCTGAGGAAAGAAAACCCAGACTACACTACATTCTTCCAAGGTCCTAATCTGGATTAACAAAACACCAGGACCAGAGTGTGCATGATGGAAGGCATCTACCATACAGGGGAGATATGTGTAATAATGTATCCACTGCAGATTTGTTTATGAAACAAATTGTCCTATAGACAAACAAGATATAGCCAAAAAGTTTGAAGTTGTTTTCTGAATTCATGAGTATTCTCCCAAATAAAGACATTGGTATTCAGAAATACTGGTTACTCAAAACTCTTATTGAAAATGAGAAGAATGTTTCTGTAGGTCCATAAAAGAAGTAAAAAGTGAAATCTACAGAAAATTCCACCTCTGCATACAACTAGAGGGTATACAATCACGAGGACGGGAGAAATGGGTTTAAAAAGTTGTTGGAATAGTAGTGCCGACTAGTTAGAGACTGGAGAGCTTGTCTGTGTTTTGCTTAGTTTGAGGTCTAGGTTCTAGTTTACCAGCTGAAGGAGTTATGTAATAAGAATTTACTTATCTGTTGTGCACACTGGAGGAGAATTTAATGCTGAAATTGAGTCCCTGGTAAAATGGTTGGTGCTTTTAACAGTGTACTCACACAGATGAATATCCACCTCGATCAGGCTATATAGGTTTATAGTCAGTTTGCTGCAGCCAGCAGGAACAATCTTGATTCAGTCCTCAGGCTTGCTATTCTTTGCTTCTCTTACCAGGACCTTCAAGGGATTCTTGCTGGCATTTTGAGAATCAAGTCCTGGGCTCATGCCCCTGTACTCTTTCCAGGCTATACTCTTCTTTGTGGTTCCTCCTTTCTTGTATTAACTAGTTTCTCTTCAGCACCAGGTTCCTAATTTCTATACATATACCCATCCTACCCAAATTCTGTATCATAATTTTTCAATAAAAACTCTTGTTTTTAGTGAACCATTGCAGTGAATTGTATTGAACCTCCCAGGAAACAAAACTTACTATTTAATATCAACCAGAAAATTGTCCTTCTTGGGGGTTAACCATTGCAAGACATATCACTAAGCTCTCCATTTTCCTAAGGCTATGGCTGAGATGATGGCTGAAAACTACCATAACATATGGGCAAAGAAAAAGAAAATGGAGCTTGAAGCAAAAGGTAATATTAACTATAGGTGTTTATAGTATTTTGAGTTCTCTATGACTAACTTAGTTGATGTATTTGAGAAAACAGATTGGGGAAAAAAAAAGTAATAGTAAAAGTATCTATTCTTAATTAAATATTTTGTGATTTTTAGTGTCTGGAAAATTTTAATAGTACTGAGTGTAACAGTTGCTGTTGAAGTAGTTTATCAATTCAAATATATCAAAGGAAGAGAAGTCAAAGCTTGTTAATAAATCTTAAGCTACATTAATGCATTTTTCTTCTAGCATTAATCTTTCAGACTATTGCCCAGTGGGCTCTGATTTCATTTGTATTAATTCTTTTGTTGCAGGTAGATCTAAAAGGGTGTTTACTAAGAACTGCACATACGATGTATTGAATTGACAAGTGGATAAACCTAGAGTAGATTCTTGCTTCCACATAAAAATTGCATGTGCTCCAGGATCTCTGCTTACCTAAATGTCAAATTTTCTCATGTATTGTGTAACTAACTGTTTTTCCTCTATGTTAAAATATTTTCTTTATTTGTGTTAAAGCTAATATTTTTTTTTCTGCAGATAACTTTATATTTGCACATGGAGGAAACAATATTTGGAGAAACAGCAAGTTCTCATTTGCAAAAGTCTTATCTGACAAAAAAAAAAACGGCTTTTTTTTTTTTTGTAATTATATACTTTCTTTTTTTGTTAGTTGTAAGCTTCCAGCTAAGGTACAGTAGTTGAGGATTTATGAAAAGGTAAAGTAGGGCTGTCTATTACCTAGGTTAGGAAGTTATCCTTAATGTATTCCAGGAGTCTGCTGGATTGCCTAGAGCTCACCATGCTACTTTTCCAGCAGATGTTAGTGTGGTTGAATTCCCCCAGCTGGACAAGAGTGTAATACATGTGTAAAGAGTGTTATACATGTATAAAGAACAGAACAGTGATGTGGACTTCAGATATAAAATGTTCCTTTTTTTCATTTAAGGCTTTTCACATACACAATATGTTAGCCACCTGAAAATTGCCAAGTGTCATTCCCCTTCACTGAACACTTTGCGTGTATTAATTATAATTGAATGATCTATTATAGTCTTAATGACTTACTTAGATAGGATATGTATGCTTACTATGCTTATATGTGGTTTTGCATGTCTGTCTTCAGTTGTAATAAGGTGGAATTAGATCACATTTGTGACAATAGAATAAAGCCCAATCATCCCCATGTTAAATTCTGTACTTCCCAAAAAAACTCAAACCAAACAAAGAAAAAAACCCATCAGACTTGCCCACGAGGTTACCATTTTGCATGTACTTAAACAGATTCAGGCAGGACTAATGGAAAACTTTAGAATATGTGGCTTACAAAATCACCTAAGGATATGTCTCCAATGTTTTCTAGAGGGAAAGTGTTCTTTTTTTAAATATTATTACTAGACCTTTGCTGTAGTATTTTTTCTGAGATAAGTTTGAATTAGCCTTACAATTTCCTGGGGTTTCGTAGCAGTTATCATAGGAATTGATTGTGTTCTGCTATAGGATGGTGATTTTAGAAAGTGAAATCCTAAGAATGTTGCTTTTTATGCAGATATTTATATTAACAATAGGTATTTTATTTTCTTTCCAAATTAACTATCTACATTCAGAGAGGTATCAATACGTCAGCTATTCGAAAGCAATACAAATGCAGTTTATTCTGTTTACTTCTGTTTTGACAGCATTCGTTTGATCAGATTGGACAGTCGTCCGAGCCACATTTGAAGAACATACTCTAATTTTCTGTCTTTATTACTATAAAGTAGAAGTGTATCGCTTTCATATATTTTTAGATATGTGTATATCTTGCTAAACTCCATGAACCCTTTTTGCTGTCATCAGAATGTTTAAAAGCAGGACTCTGTATATGTTTATATATTTGTTTATATCTTGGTTTTCTTATGAAATGATGTGTTATTTATGGAAATATTTTCAGTTTCATTAAATTAAATTGTGATTATAATACACATTTGTAACAGTTAAGCACTTTTTTTCTTCTTTAAGAGCTTTAGCAGTAGGTTTAACATATTTACCTGGTATTTGCAGCAACTGAGTATGTTAGAACTATGTTTGCAGCCACATCTAAAGTTCCTATCTGAATATTTTTTAGGTTTGTGTAAAGAAACAGCTTTATTGTAATTTCAGACTAGATTTTATTATAACATGCTATGTGTTATTATGACAGTGCTTTTACATACTGGCACTTGCCATGTCAACAGATAACTCTTTAACTGCTTTTTAATTCTCTTGATGTTCCATAGTAGGAGGAGGCAACCATCCTCTTCTTGTTCCTTATGATACACTCACAGCCAAAGAAAAAGCCAAGGACAGGGAAAAAGCACAGGATATTTTGAAATTTCTACAGATTAATGGATATGTTGTCTCCAGGTAATTCTCTGTTCGGTCGTAGTGTCACAGAAGGTTTCTAATACTCCTTAGTAGGCTTTTTTTAATATCTTTTTTTTTTTTTTTAACTTAAAAGTAAAATCTATAGTAATTTTTAGGTTTCCATACCTAGGAGTAAGGATGAGCTCTTTCATATAGAACATTGTAAGGAAGAAACAGATTACAGAGTTAGTAGCAGGGTTTTTGGAAGGCACAAGCAGCGTTCTCCAGAATCTTTGCATGTGTTCTGCCTCTTCTCTCAATGTTGCAGCATGCTTTTTCTTTCTGGTGTGTCTCCATACAGCCAACTGTTAGTAAACCTGTTAATTTTCTACAAGTGATAGAATTATTAAGTCTTCATTCAAGGTCAGGTACACACACCTCTATAGGACTTTCTAAGCAATTGCTTTGATAAGTCAGACAGCTTTATTTCTAAAATCTACTACTCATTTCTTTCAAATGAGTTAATTTGTAGTGTCGTTATATTTTAAAAGTGAAAAGTGATAATTTTAAAAAGCTTTTTTTTTAAACAATCCAAAGTGTAAATGTCATATCAGTTAATAAATATAGTAATCAACAGAAGATTCATAATTCAAGATGTATACATGCTATTATCTGCAGAATAACATGCATAATTCCTTTTGGTTTTAATATGACATATTTACCTACTAAATGCAGCATGAATAAAATTTAAATTAAATTGGAGGCTTGTCTGCCTGATCAGTGTGGCTTAGGAAATGTGAGTCACTATGAAAGGCTGAAAGCGTATTTGAGATATGTATGCCTTAAACATTAGTAAGTGAATGAAACAGCCACAGAGATGGATTTAAGTAATCATTGTGAATTAATTAACCTAGCACATTTACTTAAAATCTGCCTAATTCTTTTATATTACATATGAAATTCAGACCATTTTATAGAGTCCCATCCCCAATCTAATAATTGTAGGTAAAGTCTTTCAGGGTAGCTGGAGTAATTCAATTTACTTCCCTTCAATGGAGTAGGATGTATAAAGAAGGATGTCAGTCAGCAAAGGTTTCTTTCTCATCCCCTGTCAAAATGACAAAAGACTCCTCAGCTCTATTCAAGATTACACATTTCTTTTTGACTAATCAATTTTATTTCTGTCAAACACAAGTGAAAAGTGGCTTTTGGTTTTTGGAGGAGTGGAAGGCTAAGAAGGATGGTAAAATAATCGTTATCTTGGACACACCTATGGTCTAGTAAATAGTTCCTGCCACATCTACGTCCTACTGTGCTAGTCAAATGCAGGTCTTTCAATGAAGTTAAACTCAGTCTATCTACTGCTTCTGTGATCATTGTGCTGTCTAAACAAACAAGCACCTGATTCATGGTTGTTTTTGGTCTGCTTACCACTTGACTTGCTGCCACATATGCCTTGCACACATTTCTTTCCAGTCTTTCATTTAACAGTGACCATTCTAGTCTAGTGCACCATTAAGCATGCCGGGTTTAGGGAAGATACAAACACTTGCCCCCTGCCAAGCACATGGTATGCAGGCACATGGTTTGTGACCCACGGTCCCACTTCACCTGCTGGTGCTGAGCCGCTCACTTGCCTTAACTGACACTTCCCCCCGACATTAGCTGTTTTTTGGAACACACAGCATTCCCACCCCAGTGGCTAGCAGCTGGGACTCCCACTTGCTCCAGTTGCAGACACCACAGACCAGGGGTGCCTTATCCCCCCCACTATCTGACTCCCAATTGCTAGCACCAAATCCACTCACGCCAGTCCCCTGCAGTAGCTGCCACTCTGGGCTCAAAGTCTGTAGGACGCATAGAGATGTTCCTAAAAGCTGTGGCATCTCCAGCTACTGATGCCGAGACCCTCATTCACTTCTGTTGCTGGCATCACAGGCCTGGGAGCAGCTACACCCCAAGTCTGACGCCAGTTGCTGGCCCAGTACCCAGTCACGTTGGTCTTGCCAGTAGCTGGCACTTACTCCTCACAACACACACATACACATGGGATAGTGAGTGAGGTTACAAGTGAGTGAGGTTATGTGGAGAGATAGTTAAGAAAGGATTTAATAGGAAGATAGGACAGACTAGTGGTGAGGTGCAGGGCTCGCTCAGACAACTGTATTGACAGGCCATGGTTTACGTGTGACTGGCCCCTTTTGTGCCCCTTTTTGTCTTTTCTCCCCTTTTGCTCTTCCTTGGTCCTCCTTCACTGCACATTTCATCATTAGTTTGTGTCGTTCCACTGACCTGCCTTGAATATTCCAAATCCTTATGTTCCTCATGTTCCTTCCTCTTAGGAGTTACAAAATCCAGGTGAGCATCTCCAAAACTGTGCCTGAATTTTGTTAATGGCCCATGAATTAATAAATGGAGACTTTTGGTCTCTGGCATTGTCTCCTTTATCCCTTGTCTACCGCGTTTGCACCTCTATGTGTTCTTGTTTATGGCTTTCCTCTTATTACCTGCTTTTACGCTGAGAAGTTTCTTGGTCAGGTAACCTTAATGAAGCAGACACTATTGTACCCTTGCAAATATCAGCTGACAAAGCTGTTTTGAAACAGAATCTCTTTTTCTGAAACTGAACCCTACCATCAGTAATGTTCTCATTTAAAGCAGAAATGTGCACTACACAGACAGTTATGTTCAGTAGGTGTACTTTTTTAACTTGCAAAATAACTGAGTACTAATGTACTTGGCGCCTCTGACAGTGGGATGACTGACTCTGTTGCTGGTTAAGCATAGTTTCTCTATGTTCTGTCATAAAAGTCCTGATCCTGCAGAATCAAGACTTACGTCATTGCTCGCTTGTTGCTAGCAGACATCATCCCATATCATGGAACTACTCTCCAGATTCATAGTTGTTAAATGAAGATACACTTTTCATATCAGACTAGTAACTATGATGGAACATACTGGAAAAGGTAAACTGCAATTCCATCACTTTGTTTTGGTTTCCCCCAGATTTTTCACAAACGCTACATAGCTGTTTAAAGTTCTTCCATTACGTGCAGACTTTTGGGGAAAAGGCATGATGAGGGAGACTAGGTTTATTTCTGCTTTGATTGTTTAAATCAAAGTATTTTGGCAGTTTCAAAATGCTCTCACCCAAGAATCAATTCCTGGAGGGAGATCTAAGACGGTAATGCCTTACAAGTAAGGGAAAGAAATTAGAATGATACTGGATAATCTGATTGACTAGTCTCATTTTCCTGTAACCTACCTAGGAAATCTGAGTTGTATCTTAACAAATTGCTCAAAACCTAAATAAGCATAAGAGTACTATTTACTTCAAACACAGAACAATTGTTATGTTCATAAACAGTTTAATCATTACTAGAGAAATTGGCATCAGACTACATGGAGAGATAAGACTGCTTTGAGTCCTTTTGAATGTGTGAAAATTGACTTGCTTCATTTTACAGAGGACTTAAGGATCTGGAATTAGACACACCTTCCATTGAGAAACGTTTTGCCTACAGTTTTCTTCAGCAACTTATAAGATATGTGGATGAAGCTCATCAGTACATTCTGGAGTTTGGTAGAGTAATCCTTGTGCATTTGCTTAAGAATTATTAACCAAGATGTTTGAGATTATAAAAGAAACTAGAAAATAAAAAAAAAGACACATTCTTGGACTAGTTTTCCCTCTAGTTTCTTATACTTGATGAAGATGATGAATTTTGTAAAATTATGTAGCTTGCATATTTGTTCCAGTTTCCCATATTTGTTCCAGTTTCCCATATTCGTTCATGAGATGAAAAGTGTTCAGCCAAAATTTGACTTTCATTATTTGAAAAAGAAAACTAGCTGCCCCCCTTGTATTTATGCACAAATTAATAATTTCTCACATGTGCACATTAATTTTTACTATTCACATGTAATCCCTTTTTCACAGAGCAAATTAAACCAGCCATTTGTACCATTCTGAAATTTTCTCTGCAGGAGGAAGCTGAGTAGAGAAACCTCTTTAACAGACTCCCACAATGGGAATGTTATTTCACAAACACCCAGCATGTGTTTTGTCAACAGTGCTATGAAGGAAAGAATTGAACTTGATCTGCTTTTGTTAAAGATAAAACATATATAGGAGTTTGGTGACCCAAGTCAGCTTCTTATATGAGCAGTAAAAGCCAAAAAACCTGGCGAGATGCAGCTTCTGTGTGACCATGGGAGGTGCAATGCCACATATCATATACTGTGCCTCATGTCTAGGCATAGAGACTGTGATTGAGAGTATTAACGGTAGGAACACCAAGGAGATTGAATAAGTCAAAACTCATCCAAAAGCCTATCTAGTTTTAAAGTGGAGATTATGAAATTTATGAATTATTATATGCCATGGTTACTTACAGTACCAAAAGTCTGGCCTTGATAACTCATTGGGTTACTTCTGCTACTAATGCCTGATTACCATGGCTTCATTCTACTTAATTATGTAGATTTGGCATAGTTGCAAGAATGATAATGAATAAATACTGAAACACTGGAAACACTGGTGGAACAAATACCATTCATGTCCCTCAATGGATTAGTAAAAAGAAGATAATAAATAAAGTATATCATAAAATAAATAAAGGACTCTGGGAGCTGTATCAGATTATGTCTGATATGTAAAGGATAGTTGATTTTTATAGTAATATTATAATTACTATAATAATATAGTATTATTATAGTAATACCCAGTAATAATTTCAGCTGGGTAGTTCTAACCATTAACGTTGTTCTTTAGACAAAGTTCACAAATAAGTAGTAAAAATTTGGTAATTCTGTTTCTCCTGAGAATGACTGGAGAAAGGTGTTCCATTAGAATCTGAGTTCAGGCTTCCAAATGATCACCAATAACTAGAAAAATATAAACACAGGACCAGATTTTCATCTCACAAAAATATCCATATCTCTTTAGACTATGAGATGTCTACACTTTTATCAAGATTTGGGCAGTTATTCTTTACACATTTTATTTGCTGTAACTTTTCTTCTCATGAGGTAGTTATAAAAGGCCACTTTAACTAGTGTGCATACTGTTTGTGGTGTCTTAACTCTACATCTAAAGATGACCAGTATTATTTGTTTATAGTGTACACTTTCTAAGAACAACACAGAATAGACTGTAATTAGGATATATGACAGTGAGCTTAATTTTCTTCTCTCTGCAGATGGTGGCAGCAGAGGCAAAGGAGAGCACTTCCCATATGAACAAGAAATCAAGTTTTTTGCAAAAGTACAGTATATCTTTGCTTATTCTTTGTCAATGTAATAAGTAGTTGAAGAGAGTAAGTATTTGTTAGTGAACAAGATTATTGTTGTTCTGGCTGCACTTTTCTGTGTTAAATTCATTATTTTATTCATTAAAACCAGTGGCAATAAGAATAGCTTGAAAATACTGTAGGATGCAGTATAGAATTGAAAAAAAATACAGGACTATATTCTTATTCTCATTATTTCCTTGCTTCATGATATGCAACTAATCATATGATGTTATTTATAACCTCCCTACATATTCTGTTTACTGGCTTAGTCTAATTCTGAAGATTTTTAGCTTTTACAATCTTCAGGCAGATAAATTTGATCAATAGTTATTGGAATTAACACAGCTATGTATCTTTCAGTGTCGACTTCTTTATTTCTTTCCGTGTTTTAAAACCATGCTGATGTCTCCATCACAAAATCACAGAATGGCTGACGTTGGAAAGGTCCTCTGGAGGTCACCTAGTCCAACTTCACTGCTCAAGCAGTGTCACCTAGAGCAGGTTGCCCAGGACTGTGTCCAGGTGGCTTTTGAATATCTCCAAGGGTGGAGACTCCGCAATTTCACTGGGCAGCCTGTGCCAGTGCTCAGTCACCCTCACAGTAAAAAAAGTGTTTCCTGATGGTTGGAGGAAACCTACTGTGTTTCACTTTGTGCCCATTGCCTCTGGTCCTGTCATGGGGCACAGCTGAAAAGAGCCTGGCTCCATCTTCTTTACACTCTCTCTTCAGATACTTACGCACATTGATGATACCCTCCCTGAGCCTTCTCTTCTCCAAGCTAGAGTCCCATCTCCCTCAATCTCTCCTCATTTGAAAGATCCCCTACTTCCTTTATCATCTTTGTGGCCCTTCACTGAACTCGCTCTCCGATATGTCCGTGTTTATCTGGTACTGGGGAGTCCAGAACCAGACACAGCACTTCAGATACGGCCTCATCAGTGCTGAGTAGAGAGGAAGAATTACCTCCCTGGGCCTGCTGACAACATTCTGTCTAATGCAACCCAGGATGCTGTTGGCTGCCTTTGCAGAGAGGGTACATTGTTGGCTCATGGTCAGTTTGCTGTCCACTGACAACCCCTGATCCTTCTCTGCAAAGCTGCTTTCCAGCTGGTCAGCCCTCAGTGTGTACTGGTACCTGGGATTATTCTTCATCAGGTGCAGGGCTTTGCACTTCTCCTTCTAAAACTAATGAGATTCCTGTCAGCCCAATTGTCCTTTTTGTGGCAACATTTTACACGTTATAAATTAAGAAAATCTGCTTACGCCTTTTGCATAGAAAAGCTTGTATGGTGTTTGCATATTCAAAGTGCCTTCTGAATTCCTTAGTGGATAAGCAAAGGTAGCTGTTTGCAGCATTTTCTAACCCTGATAATCCTTGCAGTAAATTGTAATCTTGATACCTTGAAGTACTTCCATGTGATACAATTTGCCAAATTCATTGACTTGGAAGGTAACATTCTACCTTCTTTTGAACCATGCTCCAAAAAGGAAGCAATTTCAGATTTTCTTATTGGCTTTTATTTTGGATCTTCTGGCTGACATCTGCAGTAGGCACTGAGTCACCATATGAAGTAAACAGGAAAACTTCTGTGGACAAGCCCTTAACTGAATTAATGAGGAAGTTTTGGGAGTTTTATTTGATAACATCTAGAATTAAGTGCCATTAGTATGCTGACAGTTATAGGTGAATTTTTCTAAAACCTACATGTAAAAGTCATGAACAGCAGTAATTGTGAGACAAAATGAAATTATACTTTCTGCTTTGTATTCCTCCTAAAAAAACCTCACAGATCAAGTTCCAGAGATAATGTAAATTTTTTTCTGATGACATTTTAAGTACCTTGAATACTAAATGCATTTAAAGAGGAATAGACATTAAAGAAAAAAATACATAGAGATTTTAAAACAGAAAACACATTTGAAATCTCCTGCCTTTAGTTGTGACTTACAAAGAATAATACAGAACATAGTAAAGAAAGCCTGGAGATAACCACTTCTTTCTGATGTGATTTCAGGTTGTGCTCCCTTTGATTGATCAGTATTTTAAAAATCATCGCCTGTATTTCTTATCTGCAGCAAGTAGGCCTCTCAGCAGTGGAGGCCATGCTTCTAATAAAGAGAAAGAAATGGTGACAAGGTAAAACTTCAAATAGTATTAATGTGTATGCATATGTGTGTTTGTCTTTAAAGAATGGTAGTTGATTGTGGGAAGGTGAGAAGTGGGAGGGAAAGAAATACTTTTATGAACACGCAAATTAAACTTTTTAAACTTTCTTTTCCTGTCAGGAAAATTCATTGTATAAAATGAAGAGAGGAGTACAGAGTTATGATTATATGCTGGTTTAAAGGTAGTGGTGATGATTTTAGCATGCAGGGATCTTAAATTTAGCATTATGTGCAACAATACATCAGTTGCACGTTCTGTGGCGCAGGCTATCCAATTGTGTATCAGTTTTCACTGTTGGAAATAGGTGTATACTGAAATCACTATTCCTGCAAGATTTTGTGGTAGATTCAAAAGCCAAACTTACTCATAACTGAGTTTAGTAAGTATCATTATTACTGTCCATCATAAAAAGTAAAAATGAGAGACTTGCATTCTTTCTGCTCTTTGATTTTCTAAATAGTAATAACAGTAGTAATATGAGGATCCACTTGATCCTTTCTCTGAAGTTATCAATTTTTAGACCATCTCTCTCAGGTATGTTTTCACTTTGAATTGAATTGAAACCCATATTTCCCATTTAGTAAGGTGCACTACCAGCTTCACGCAGGACCTACTGCATACCTGTAATGTACAGGTATCATGGTTGCTTTCTTGGGCTGATACTGGGTATTGAACTATGAAAAACTGAAATGCTGTTCTTTGAGGCTGACAGCCAACTGATGGTCATAGAGACATGCAGGGTTTGCAAGATTGTGTGAATACTGAGTGAAGTTTCTAGCAACAACACTAAGCATAAGTAAGTAATGGCTGTCTTGACCCTGTGTCTTCTCATGGACTAATTTGATCTGGCAGCTTGGCTGAATGGCGTTCTTCAAAGAATTAAAAAACTCTATCAAAATGCATGCATCTAGATAATTTTCCACTATATGAGCTGCTGTTTTTTTGTCTTTAGTGTCCTGGATAACAATATTTTAGCAGTTGTTAAGTCATGCCAATAAACCCCATACTTCTGGCATATGTCAAACACGGATGTATCAGCATACCTGCCCAATAGATTCAGAAATTCTGCACATAATGCTATCTAGCTGTGTGAGACTCCTGAACATGTAGCCCAGCAAAAGGATGAGAGCTGCTGCCACACTTAATTGAGTTACCTGCCATCCAGAAGGGTCAGCCAAAGAGAAGAAAGCACATGCAAGGAAACCTTGTATGAGTGATAGCTATAACCAGTGCTATTGATCAGTTTATTTCTTACTTATCAAGACACAAAGATTATATGAACTACATTATATGATCCATTTCCTGAAGGGTTGTTTTGGGCCATTTTAATAGATTACCAACATTTTTTTGTGTTGTTTTGTTTTTTGGGTTTGTTTTTTTTTTTTCCTCTACAGTGTTGTAGGGAGTTTGAGAGAGCTGAATTTTGGATTTTCTGTTGAGTTTTCCCTTTAGATTTGAGTGCAACTCATACATACGATTTTCTTCAAGCTACGGGCAGTTCCTAGCTGCTTTTTTTTTTCCAATGAAGATAAGCTTACATTCATTAAGCTATGGAAGAGTATCATTTTGGGTATTGATAATGCAATGAGAATGTTAACAAGTGCAATAACTATTCTGTGTTCAGCAAGTACATTAAATCCAGATCTATTTTGCGGGCAAATACGGGTCAGATCTCTTCCTGAAGTATGATGGCATTATATTCCATCTTATTTGTAACCAGCCTCTTCAGGACTGGGCTTTTTGCATTTCTCATCCATTAGACTATCTAACTACTGCAGTTGTATAAAGTTAGTTCTGGACATCAGTCTAAGTACTGGCCATTTGGACATTTTAATTTACTTATTTAAACTAAACTAATTACACTGGAGATAATGGGTTCAGTCTGACTTTGTGAAAACATAGCGTCTGCTGAATGCTACAGTCAGTTGAGTAACATTTGTATGTTAGAATATAAGATAGATTATGAGCTATTTAATGTCTTTGTTAGAGTGGACACAAGATTTATATGATGTTAACATGCTTCTGTACAGCTTTCCCTGTTGGACTGTGTGAACCAAGATCCTCATAAAAGAATATATAGTATACGTCTGCCTCATGGAGTAAAAAATGAACAGAGATCCCTGAACATGCACCAACCAGACTCATCTCTAAAACAGAGCAGTTGCTGTTGCTGTAGTGGATCACTGTACACTGGCTAATTAGCTGGATTCAACACCACATTAACCTGGCTGTTCTGATTCTGGACATAATTGTTTCCATTTGGCACCGTGCTCTTGTCTGTCAATGGAACAGCATGTTCAGATCTCATCCATAAACTGTGCAGACATGCTTATGGTGTCTTTTGCTTTTAAATCAGAGGTTGATAACTAGCCTGTGTGCGTAATAATTAAATAGCCTAATAAAATGACATGATATTGCTCATGTCATTTATAGCAGATGAGGGGTTTTGCAGCATAAAAATTAGCACCAAAATTGTGATTGCTCTCGGAGAAAATTCTCAGGCTGAACTGGATCATGAAGATTGAGCTAGTGCCTCCTAAATCTGGAGACCAGGTGAACTTGCGTAGGGCAGTGTGCTCCTGCTTCTACAAATTAACACAAAACTTCGTTCTTCATTGGAGCACTGCTCATCAACACAGCAATTAATTCAAACATGTGAAACTAAATCACTGATCATATCAATTTTTGTTGGGTTTTAACCACGTAAGAGTCTATTTATCATGAAAGTGTGTTTAAAAAACAATGTATTTGAAAAGAAATTCTCACCGTGTTCAAGATTGCAAGATCCAAATTGGGCTAGTTAAACATTTGCCATCAAACACTTCAATTAATCTGATTTCCTTACCTTTTGTTTTCAAATTGTCAGTGGTATCCTGAATAGCACACTGACCACATTTTACTTCTTAAAGCTTTGATGGTTATTTCCTTGTGGGTTATCATATAGGACGCTTTTGTATTAATTAGCTTTGCTTTTAATTTTTTTTTATTTCTTTAATTATAATATGTGCTTATTTAACCATGTTTGTTAAGGATATGCACTTAAAAACTCTTTCTTTAGTATTCTGTCCCACATTCTGCTCAGATAATTGATTCTTTCTGCGTGACATCATGTTGCTTTTCCTGCTCATATATCAGCTGTTATTTTTTCTTTGTCCCCCCTCCCCCCCAATTTTTTTCCTTTTCCCTTCTCTTCTCTTTTATTTTTCTTTTGTCTTCAGCCTGTTCTGCAAACTTGGAGTTCTTGTCAGGCATAGGATTTCACTGTTTGGTAAGAAGACCCTTGACAAATACTAGCATGGCCATCACTTGGTTTTCTTTGCCGTTTTTGCATTGTGTTACGTGCTGCTTTGTTGCATGCTGCATGGCTGAAATGCATGGTCTTCACAGACCACTAATTGTTTAGGCTGGTAGATCACAGAATTTACTAGATGGAATAAAAAGCTTTTGTAGTTATCAGTTTGGGTTTTTTCTTTTAGTTTTCCGTGTGTCTTAACTAATATCTGGATTTCATTATCCTACCAAAGAATTTTGCTGAGTTATAATTACTAATTTGTTATTTTATTCTAAATCATTTGGGAAAAACAGAGAATCAGAACTGCACATATGTATTGGAAGGTCATTAAGGAAAATTGTAGTGGGCTGAAATGCTTAGTTATGTTCTGTGGAATTCTTAAATATTCCCAGATGTGCTTGACTCCACATACGCATGTGTACTATCTTTCTGGTATTATGTGAATCTAGCAGGAGCTCGGTGTTTGTCTTATGCCATGTGAAAATCACTTAATTGAAGTCAATTTGAAGTCCGTATCAAGTGTATACATTATATGCGATGTGTGGCACAGTCATTTACTCTGCGATTTTTTCTTACGCCATGGTGATAGGATAGTTGAAATAGTACATCGTATGCATATATAACTTCTATGATGGATGCATTGCAAACTTCAGCATCCATGAACATACCTAACTGGGTAATTATCTAGCGAATTAGAATTTGATTAAGATAACATGCATCTAACTCAATTCCTACATATTTCACTCAATTTGAAGGGAAGGAACTCGCTGCAGCAGTGTGATGTTTAAAAAACTTACAGATCATTATGAAAACCATTAAGCTGAAAGATCAGAAGTTATTTTGGGATATCACTTTTAAATATGTTTTGGCATGAGCTGAGTGGATTTGTCTGTAAAGCCAAAAGATCATAGGAGGAACGGAGTTATTTCTGCAGCTGTGTGGCATTGTTGCAGCTTTTTCTGAAGGGTGGAGTATGTCACAAACGTACACATAAGCTCTGTTTTATACCCTAGGTTGTTTCTTCAAAGAATGAAGTAGCTCAGGTATACTATTAAAATTTTGCACATCTTTTTTGTTATTGTGTGAATTTGTTTTTCTGATTTTTTTTCTACAATGAGTAACAAGTTGAAATTAAAAATGTAACTTTCTTCAGTACTAAAGAAAAGATTTTTTCCATTCCACATCTCAGCTTGCTTCTTTCCTGTTCTTTGGCTGGGTTCAAGTGGTACAAGGAGATAAGTCAGATGGGATCAGATGAGTATTCACTATGGCTACAGTTTGTTTTTTAACCCTTTTCCTAGTGTGCAGTAACGAACAGAATACAAAATCTTTATGCCAACAATAGACGCGTACTGTAGCTTTTCCATAAGTTATGACAAAGTCACTGAAAGACTCTGGAGCATGGTCTTTTACTGTGGACCTACTAAGTCAAGTCAAAGTCACCTTACAATTTGCCTTACCTGGACAGTGAATTAGATCATGTTAAAAAAACCTGATCAAAAGAATTGCACTTACTCCAGCAAAGACAAGGCCTGTGTAGAAGTGGTGAAAATACTTAAAAGGACAGCCTCTGAGCATGGCTGGGGCCTAGAAGGTTATTTGTGCATTTTTGAGGCATCTTGAATGAGCAAGAGTTGCTCAATAATAACTTTTATGGATAGTGCGGAGTTTGCTATAACAAATAGAGAAATGCTATATAGTTTTGCTATATAGGTGTTTTATGTTATCATGAATTTGAATGGTACTGCTGAAGGTACAGCTGCATGTATGAAAGTCATTACTAAAAGTCATGTAGCTTAAGGTGTATGTAGAAGTCTTAATAAATTGGGAAATTAAACATGCGAGTCTTCCAGAGTGAACTTAAACAGTTAATCACATTTGATATCTAACAGTGTCACTGAGATTATGGAATTGTAATTCAGTATGGAATTATTATTTCTTTACACTGTGAAAGTACATTTGGACCCCAGTAGTTTCCTGTTTGAGAGCGGTAGCTGTGCATCAGTAAGACTGTATTGATTTACTTTCATTATTACTAGTGGACTGAATTTGAAAGTTTTTAGTGAATAATTTTGGTGACTTGAGCATTTGAATTTATATTTTTCTCAGTTTAAAAAAAAGATTATATGACTAGTCTGATTCACTTTTTATATTGTTTAAATCTCCAGTAAGGCATTCTTTCTATGTAAGCATGTAAGTAATTTTTAAAAAAAAATCTTCGTATCGGTAATACAGACTCATGTAATCTGAAGCAAAAAGTGGCTGGGTAAGAGATCAGGTAAGAAAGGCGTGTTTTTGCTTTTTGCTCACTCATTTTTGGAACTTAGGGAAATTAATTGGAGTTCCTAAAAAGAAACAAAAGGCTATCTCTGCCTAATGACATCCTGAATTTATAAGTGTCCTGCCAGTGAGGCATCCTGGAATCCATATCCATAGCACTTTCGCAATACAGCAACAGTTCTTCCCTTCTAATATAATAATACAGCTTTCTAAAATATGTAGGACTGCACCTCAGATTATTAAAGGAACTGAGTTGCGCAGTTCATGGGATCAACTGCATTTGTAATACATGCTGAACAGTGATACAGCCATCAACCTAGTATTTCTACGAGCTCCTGGCATTCTTTTAGCCTTAAAACCTTTTGGACTCATGTGGCTTAGTATTTGCATATGTACAGCCTCTATTGTTTTGAGTTCTGTGAAGAGTTCCTTTAAGGAACAGCTCTTGTTTCAGTTTTTATCCTATTGAATTGTACTTATCACCTGTTCCCCTTTCACGAGGTAGCGGAATTTTGTATACTGCACATTCATTTCTACATCAGTGTGTTTTGTATCTAGTTTTCAGGCTTCTGAAAACCAAGAAGATTTTTAGTTAATATTTTTAATTGAATGAAGGTACATATATTGGCAATAGTAATAATACTGGTTTCATTAGAAAACCCCTCATTTTAGGTTTCATAACTCGGTTTAAAAAAAGATGGCCTTCTGAAATTGACTTCTGACCTCACGTTGGAAGCAAACTGATTCTTGAAACGTTCAATTTAAACGGACTTTTTTTGAGTTTTAGCTGTGGCATTTTAAGGTACTGCACTGTAGCATGCAGTGTATACACACCTGCACAATGAATGTTAAGATACTATTTCATGACAGTCTATTCCACAGTCTAAGTCCAGGTTGCTCTGAGTACTTCCCTCCATCCCTGCTGTCATTAGCACCACCCTGCATTGATGAAGAACATCAGCAACTGACATTCATATCAGTCTATTCCACAGTCTAAGTCCAGGTTGCTCTGAGTACTTCCCTCCATCCCTGCTGTCATTAGCACCATCCTGCATTCATATCACCAGAGCAGTAAAATAGTAAGGAAAAAAATAAGAGCTGACAAAAAACTTAATCTTTTAGGGTGTTTTGGTTGGTAGGATTTTTTTTAGACCACCTCAGCTTTCTCATCTGCTTGCTGTATCATTGCATGACTGCCAGTGCAAAGAGGATGGGGCTGCCTGGCCAGGGGCAGCCATGGAAGCTGTGGTTCGGGTCTGTTTAATCTACTGTGGTTGAACACCACAATACCCCCTAATTTGGTAGCATAGAACAACATTCTCAGCGCTGCAATAAACCTCCCACTCCTTCCTTGCAATTTTATCTTTTTAAATCTCTGCTTCACTGAAATGGTTACTAATTTTAGTTGTATGTTTGCCTGTATTTTAAAGTGAAATAATCACCAGTGAGACAGTATAGTACACTGTATGTAGATGACAGTATTTTCAGAAATCTATTTTATGTTAAACTTTCAATTTATTTCCTACTTTCTTTTTTAATTGAGAAATTTTAAATATGTAGAGAAGCTAGAAAAGCCATTTTCATTTTTGCAGAGATATTAAAAAAAAAATCTATTAAGCTATGGGTCAAATTTGCGTAGCCTAAATCTGTCCTGGATTTAAAAAGTGAACTTAGAGGTGGCTTATACATGGCAACATCTTGGGATGTACATATGCATACAAGGCATGTTGTGTGAAAGTTCTCTTTTTACATACAGAAGTATGTGTGAAAAAAATAATTTAATATGGGAGATGCACATTATGTCAGAGGCTGTAACTCATGTGGGCCACATGATGCTGGTATAAATGGCTGCAGCCTCTTGGTAACACTAGGGAGCTAACCCTTTTGATGACATTTTATATAAACGTTCTCTTCCTGCAATAGCAGCTTGCAAAAGTTAACAGCTTTTATGTTACTGAGAGGGGGAAGGTAAATGTTCAGATAAACCTGAATGAATTCAAGCAAAATTTATAGAACTTGAATGAAAACTAGACAATACACTGCAGCTCTAATTAACCCCACATTTAAGTGCTTTCATCTTGACTGCCTCAGCTATTTGTTGAGAGATGCTTTACTGCCTCTAGTTACTGCATTTGTGTAAACAAGGCTAAGACAACAAACTGCATGTTTTTTTAACTTGAATGTTAAAATTGTGCAGAAGTTCAGTTGCTCTTCTGCTATGTCATTTACTCCTTCATTAAAATCAGAGATACAGTTAGCAAAGTGTAGGAATGCTACACAGTATGCTCAGCATAATTGGTGGATAATTTTCCTCCCTGTTTAGGAAATGATGCAACATCAATAGTCAACTGTCTTCACATACTTGGACAGACCTTGGATGCGAGGTAATACTGAATATATTTTCTAAAGTACGAATAAAATCACTCAAGAAAATAATATGCAGTCAGATCTGCGCTACCTGTGTAAGGCTACAGAATTTCAAAACTCAAGAACTTACACGACTGAAATGAATCCCCATTGTGAAGTAGGTTAATTACTGGGAGTTGGCAAGACAGTATTTGTAGGTTACACGTTCAACTTCAGTTTGGGTCAATGGTGTCCAGGAACTGCTAGCTGTTAGTTCATCTGGTATTAATCGTGTGACCATCCCAAAACCACAATAACATTAGAAATATTTTATTCTTTTGCTTACACTGTTTAATCAAAAAATTCAGGAATTAAATACACGTGGAGTACAGTACATCTGTCTCGTAGAGTGTCTTAGTTTCAAAGTTAATTTGGGTTCTAATTTGAACAAATAAAACCCTTTACATGGAATTCAGTGGTACTTCTAAGTTAAATAGAGCTGCTTGAGCCGTTTTGAGGTTTATGGATGAGACAGTCTTGAAATATTGTCAGGTAATGTGTTGCTTTTCATTAACTGGCCAGTCAACTATCTGTGCTGATAGTTGACTTTTAGGTCTTTGCAGTTGTGAAACAAAACATGATAGTTTAAACTACTTCCATGGTAATTTATGGTAATTTTTTCACTTTGCATTTGCTCTCAAAGAATTGACTGGATTACATACCGATAGCTCTTTTTCTCAATATCTTCTCAAAGGCTTAAGTGAACAAATTCTACTCCATTTAAATTTTACTCCGTTTTCAAATTTTACTCCATTTGCTATGGAGTAGAGTCATTATCATGGTCAATTATTATGGTACAGGTAGAGGTCACCGATTCAGTTCTTGGTAGAGATGTAAAAATAGCTCCAGGCAGGGATTAGGGATTCATGGAGGTTACATGAAAAGTTTGAAAATATTGGCATTGAAACTGTATATATTCAGTCTGTAAAACAAACAAACAAACTGGACTGTTACTCAATTTCCAAAAGAATTTATTTCACACATACCTGAAGGGATGCTTTCCTTAAACAAAGGATCTCTGTAATTGACCTAATTAAAACAAATAAGGTAATATTTCTCCTGGATTATATCATTACGTAACTGGTTATGGTGTTATAGTTATGTAATCAATGCATTAATTTATTTAATGCCCTTATTCTGGAGGCATAAATATGACTGTCATGGTTGGAAAGACTTTCTGAGTTCTAACTTGAGAGAGTTGTTCTCTTCTGAGAGTCAAAAATTGCAGGCTTACTCTTCTTTTTTGCTTGGTAGGTTTTTTCCCTCTGAAGGCAAGTGAATTTATACTTAATTTATAAATCTAAAAGGACTTTATGTTCTCAGTGGGAAACCAGATAAAGTATCCTTGTGTTCTGCAGGACACCTGTGAAAATTTTTTCAGTAGATTGTTCTGCTATGAGAAGATTTTACAATATCAAAAGAGGAAATATTTTTCTTCAGAGCTTTATTATCTTTTTCATACAAGCCAAGACTAGGCTTTACTCCATGCTTGTCTAATAGAGTATTCTTTTTCATTCTTTTTGCGTTCTATACACAGGACTGTGATGAAAACTGGTCTGGAATCTGTTAAGATGGCATTGAGAGCATTTTTGGACAATGCTGCTGAGGATCTGGAGAAAACAATGGAAAATCTTAAGCAAGGCCAGTTTACACACAGCAGAAACCAGCCAAAGGGAGTTACACAAATCATTAATTATACCACAGTTGCTCTCCTGCCGGTGCTATCTTCATTATTTGAGCATATTGGACAGCACCAGTTTGGGGAAGATTTGATATGTATGTATTATTTAGAAGTGCCATGCTGCTAAAATATCTGTAGTGTCATGTAGTAAGCATTACTAGACTCTCAGTGCTGTTAGAGAAGGACAAATCCTATGTCATTTTGACAAAATTGTTGTTGGTTTAATCAAACATTTGCTATAATTTACCTAGAACGGTCTGCAGGTTTTAGTGGCCTTTGTATAAAAATGAAAGCAGATGCGGCTGATTAGATGATTAGACAGTCAGAAGGCTTGATTTTGTTTCTAACTTTACCATAGATTTACTGTGACTTTCTTCTTATGCTAAAAGTTGCCTTGTATAGGTTAATTTGTGTTTGCTCTGTCTATAAATAAGGTTATACTGTGAGAATGATGTTATTGCATCGTACATGCACCTTGACTCAGTTTCACTTAGCGGGGTTTTGGCTGGATATATCTTAGATCCTAAGGAAAAGTGGAAGGAGCTCCTGAAGAATTCAGGCACTGGAGAAGGGAATGTGTTTGAGACTCTGTATATGAGATTTCTGTAGAGATTCTGATTATGGCAGATTCAGTGTCCTTTATTTTATCCAACACAGTCTCTGCAAGACAAAATTTTGCAGTCTGCAACACAAAACTTTGATTTTATATATTTTTGGAACTCCACGGGGATTCTGCTGTCCAGACTGCACTAAAGGAGGCAATCTGCTCTGTGTAGCTAACTCAGTTATGGAAATAACTGAGAGAAGGACCTGTAAGAAAAGACTATCAAATTATATTTTTTTCCTTTTTTTAGAATCTGGAAAAGTATTATTTAAAATAGCATTAAGAGAACTGTTTTTGAAAATCTGGAGTTGTATTGATGGATTTGAATGTGATTAAATCTAAACATCCACTTTTCTCATTAAATTATTCCTGTAAAATTTAGGAATCTGTGACAGTATCCAGAAAAAGTCATCTGGGGGGGTTCACATATATCACTTGTTCATAATAAACCACTTTTTCTGGCACCAACATGTTCATGCCTTGTATAATTTTTGATCTCTGGTATTCCATGTTTGGCACTTAATAATTAGCCTTTGATACTTTATTACTTAAGTTGTTATTCTTAACCAGCTATTCTACATACATCACACTGGTGTCAAACACCCAATTTAAAATTCATGAACCGAGAAAGAATAATTAAATTAAATTATGCCTATTTATTTTGTCTAGAGCATAGCTGGAAAGGCTAATTTTTCTTACACAGAACTTCTCTTTACATCTTGTTAAGAATAAGATTATCTTATTTGTACTACTCTGATGACAACCATCTTGACCTGGTGCTTGTACCTAACAGTATTACTGTATGTACAGCATACTCATGGTGTGTTCATGTACAACAGTTGGTCGGTGTACCTCAGGTTACTCTTAGTACCTAAAAATACTCAACTCCAAGATGATCTGAACTAAAATCATGGTACATTAAAAAGCCAGGCTGTGCAACTTTGCATCTCGTAGGCTTTCCCAGCCCATTAAATCTTAGTTCTATTTAACTCCCAACATTTCATTGCATCTTGGGGGAAGGTATTAGCACTGTGGGAGTGACCAGAAAAAAAATATATATGGAAAGAATGGGAGCGTTGTCCTTCTTGATGGTACTTACACTGTTGTTACGCTATTGCTGCAGATTACATTGGAAAAGCATTTTTTCAAACAGATGTTAACATTATTCTCACATTTTTGTGACTGAAACATCTGATAATTTCAAAACATGCTTTGGATAAGTATTCATAAGGACTAAAGAATTATTTATTTTTTTAATCCTTTGTCAGTCTGAAGTGTAAATTAAGTCCATGCTACAGACTGGTGTCTGTGTCTAAATTTTACAAAATACAAACAGAATAAAATATCTGCTTAACAGGGTTGCCTTTCTTTTGTAATGTATTTTGTACAGTGGTGTTACGTTTGTAAATCAACTTGTTCCCTAATAATTGTTTTTACTTTCAGAACTTTATTTGATTTGTCATGAAACCTTAAGTGCTACAGACAAACTAGAGGAGATTCACTAGCTACTAAATTAATATATTCTCAGATTATGCAATTAGGTATTATCTGTAAAGAGTTAGTATGCCATTAATTTCAGAAAGTTAGTGCACATGTTTTGTCTTAGCTAGTAACTAGGTATTGAAGGAAATGGAAGTTTTGAATAAAAACTGGCATTCAGTGGTCAGAAGACTTTTTGTATTTAGAGGGTGATTTCTGTGGATTGCCTTTGATAGCTTAAAATTATTAATTCAGTTATTGTCAAAAGAAATTTATTTTAAGTCTACAGAAATGTATTGCAAAGGAAAATTCTTTATAACTGTCATTTTCTTCTTCTCTGTAGTGGAAGACGTTCAGGTTTCCTGTTACAGAATATTGGCCAGTTTATATGCTCTGGGAACCAGCAAGAGTATCTATGTAGAACGGTGAGAAGAAAAAGTCTTCCTCTATTTTTAATATTTGTGTTTATATTCAGCTTCATTAATATGCAGTCCAGAAATTAATATAGAAAGACATTGTTGTTGGAAAGATATCTTGAGAGAAAAAAGGTGCTCAGATGTTAAGTGGAATGCAGCTGCTTTTATGATAATACACATAGAAAGTTGCATTATAAGTTTGTCAAAATATATTTGTTAATTAAAAAATATTAAAAAAATAATCTGGCTTTACAATAAATATCACTTGATTTGAGGTTCAGCTGAGGTATTATAAAAATACGTCATTCAGCTCAGCTGTTGTTACAATTCTTCCTTATATATTGTTCAATTGTGATGTATATTTCTTTCTCATTACCCGTTTACAATAAATATCACTTGATTTGAGGTTCAACTGGGGTATTATAAAAATACTTCATTCAGCTCAGCTGTTGTTACAGTTCTTCCTTATATATTGTTTAATTGTGATGTATATTTCTTTCTCATTACCCTAAATTTAATTTAATTTGTCACTGGTACAATGCTACTTCTTTTCTAGCCTAATTACCTAGAGAAATGAGGTTTTATAATTGCTTTTTTGTGCATCTGTGTATCTGCTAATCTCCCTCCAAGTTACATTTGGTCTGTGTAAACCATATTTGGACAAAAAGTAGAGGTAGCTAGATAATTCCGTTCTTAAAACTGAATAGTTTCCCTACAGTGACTAACACTGTTCTGAGGAAAGGCTAAACAGAACTCATATACCAGATATTGGCAGCAGCAATGTAGGAAGTTTGTATATATGTACACTGTCTAGCAAATCAACCTGTGCGTAACTCCGGACCAGCCCCATGACATACCCTTACTTACTTGGTGGCAGTATCGTAGGAAACATTATGAAGAAAGGTAGGGACCAATCTTTATAAATAACAGCACACTCATCTGTGCAAAACCAGGTCTCATTAATTTCATAAGGGATATAAAAAATTAATTGGTTTTGGTATTTAGCAAATAAATTATGTGGGGTTTATAGTTAAGACTAAATATGTCAGTGTAAGTCATATTTCTGTGTATGGTTGTCTACAACCATTATCACAAGTGAAAAGCAAGTAACAGGCTCTTTGTAGGTGTACATGATGGATGTATGTTTTGCTTATGAAAACCTAATGAAAAGGAAAAAGAAGAAAGAAGGAGCAAACAGGATAAATAATAATGGGAATGAAGTTATGTTTAACAAAATAAAATTTAATGAGCTGGATCTAGAAAGAACGCAAGGTCCTAAAGTGAGATAAACTATAGACTGAATATGAATCTTCTTAAATCACAAGATTAATTTGGAGGACTCTTTTTTTTAACTTGGAAGTTCATGGGACTCCTGGATTTCTGTCATCTGTGTGGTTCAGCTTCAGCAGCTAAGGATTTCTCACACATCTAAAATCTGCTCTGATCAACTGAATTGAGAAGCAGAAAGAATAGTTTTAAATGTCCCCTGAAGGACGTAAGTGAAGTGACAGGGGTCACTTCTTCCTAGAGACAGGCTTTTTACAATTTTGACACACTTAAGGAATTTTGATTATAAAATAAATTTTGTCATACATTTGAAGATATTAGAGCAATGTTTTTGTGTAAAAATTTTGGAGTTAGTGATAAGTAGAAGCAATTTTCCACTCTCTGAAGAACTTGACTTTCATGCTAGACCAAGGTCTGATTATTACTGTTTCTCAGAAAAAGGAAATTATGTCACCTGAATGTTGTCACTTTTGTGACAGTTGTTTTTGGTCACTTGGTCTATTCAGTAGCTTTTTCTTAATGGCAGAGATTAGAAAGTCATTAAATCTGAGGGGAAAGTAACAGAACAGAAAGCATTGTTGTGATGACTTTGGGTTTTCCCTGCATGTTCCTCATTTGCTCTCAGCTAAGTAAGCCACCTTTGACATTTTATGTCTTAACATTTAATTCATATATTGGCAGAGGGTTGCTATTGCCTGTTGTCTTGATGATCCTAATAATGTAGTGGTTTATCTCTTTGAGATCAACTCATCAAAGAAAGACTGGTATACAACTACCCTGAGGTGTAGTCATCATCAAAGATGTGTATACTTAATGATGTTTGTTAATTCACAGGCAACGATCAGCACTAGGAGAATGCTTGGCCGCTTTCTCAGGTGCCTTTCCAGTGGCTTTTTTGGAAACTCATTTGAACAAACATAATATCTACTCAATTTACAATACCAAGAATGCGAGAGACAGAGCAGGTATTTCCAGAAACTTACGTGATGGTTATGAAAACACAATTTCACTATAAATGCCGCTTGCCTTAATACATGAATTTTTTGCATATATTTTATAGTGCAAGAATTTTCTTGTACTCTCTTGATTGTGTTTCTTTCCTAAATCAATGGGCTAATTCTGGTAAAACCAATTATTTTATGTTTCTAAATATACCCTTGTTTTAATTTTGAGATACCATGAAGGGGCTTAGCACATTTTTAGTATTTCCGATATTATATGTTTGATGATAAAATTATGTATTCTAATCAGTAACTGTAGTTCCTCAGTTTTCATATGCAATATTGGGTTCCCTAAAACGTACTTGAAATTGAAAGCAAAATACCTTTGCCTGCATTAAGTACATAATATACCCTTAGAAAGTTAACACACCACAGAGTAGTATGTAAATTGTTTTTTCTTTGTTTGAAATACAAGACAGTACAAATACTTTCCAGTAACATTATGTATGTTTATTTTGCATATACCTTTTTGTTCCATTCTGAAGCTCTTGATGTTTCTTATGCTAAAACATAGTTGTTGAATAAGGTCCTTGTTCCTACAGTAGATAGAAGTTACAGTAGAACTGTACAAACTCTGTATATATGCTGAGTATGAATTATATCACAGATATGTATAGATGACTGTGTATAGTATCCCAGTTTATAATGACATCCATTTTATAACTTCACCTTTATTTTTAAAAAAGGGAGCATACCAGATTTATTCTTGAGAGCTATAGTATCTTATGTTGAAAATGTCAACAGTCATACTTACTTACCATATATATTCCAGCTATTTTAATACATCTAGAAAGATGATTAGCTGTATTTTCATTGATTTTTAACAGAAATTTGAATTTATTTTCCAAAATTTCATTAAGCTTAAAGGAGACCCTGCGATGTATTTAGTCCTAAATAGGAGAAGACACTGTTTTTGGAAAAAGACTAGCCTTAGACTATGTTGGTACAAACATTTCAATTCACAAACTGCAAGCTAAATTTTCAATATATAGATGTCTATGTATCTATATATGTATGTGTACGTCAGGATGTTAGACGTAGTTGTGCTTACAGATATTTACTTGTAGATGAAAAAAAACTGCCTCCAAAAATAAAGGCAACTGCAGTGCCTTTTGAGAGGAAGGAACTGATAAGTCAATAACTTGAAAAGTAAATATTTACAGTCAGAGCTTGACCTCCAGAAGTCATTTTCTCAGAATCTGCTCTACTTATTATAATGTCAGGCAACGATTTTTTTTTTTTCTTCTATTAATAGTCCAGGTATCATCTGATGTGTTGTGGAGACATGTTTCATTGTATCAATTTGTTTCCTCAACTGCAAAGCTTATGTTGGAAGAAATTTGGAAATTTAAGCTTTATTTTGAATATAGCAAACTGCATCTGATTTCTCTGAATTCATTGTGTAATAATTACATTGTTGAAGCTTCCATATAGGAATTATTTTTATTATAGAAAGTTTTATTATTGAAGCTTATATATAAACAGTTTATTGCCCAATGGTATGCAAGTACCTGTTATTTATTGTTGTGTTTGGTTTTTTTTTTCCCCCTGGGATCAGAAGGGCATAAATGTAAATAGAAAACAAAAGTTGTGTGGAATAGCAATTGAAAAGAATTATTTTCCCTCTATGACTTAGTTTATTGTTTTGTTTTTTTTTTTAATAGTTCTCAATTTGCCTACTAGTGTAGAGGAGGTTTGCCCAAATATTCCTTCTTTGGTGAAGCTAATGGAAGAAATTGTGGAACTGGCAGAGTCTGGTATTCGTTACACACAAATGCCACATATCATGGAAGTAATACTGCCTATGCTATGTAGTTACATGTCACACTGGTGGGAGCACGGGCCAGAAAACAACCCTGACAAGGCTGAAATGTGTTGCACAGCCTTGACATCAGAGCACATGAACACTCTGTTGGGTAACATATTGAAAATCATCTATAACAACCTTGGTATTGATGAAGGAGCCTGGATGAAGAGATTAGCAGGTAAGATGTAAAAATAAATGAATAAATAAACAAGCATGTGTGCATATATTCAGAATGTGTCAATATATATACACACACTCTGAATTACTCTATATATTCCCTGCTAAAGCTGGAGTAGAACAACACTCATATTTTTATGATTCTAAACAATACAAATCTTGATGAACCAGAAAAATTAAGTATTAAGAGCAGTGTAAGCAGTATGTTTCAATCTCTTAATAAGTAATATAAGAAGTACATTAGACTATTTCTTTTTCCCCAGAGTATGCTCATATACATTTTGCAGCATATTGAATTAAAGGACTATAGTTATTTAACCCATTTTCGTTATATAACAAGTTTCCATTTGGAGGCATTACACAGTTCCTTGCTATTCTGTATGAGTGCTGGATCCTTAAAATATTGTTTTGAAGCGGTATAGCTAACATTTCTATTACAATGAAATGTGGAAATGCATATGTCATTTTAGTAATCGTTATATTAACTTCATTGTGATAACACCTGAAAAATTATTTTTAAGAAGTTTATTTCTCAACATAACAATCTGTAAGGAAAAGTCACTTCAGTGTTGTGAATTCAGTTTTTCAAATAGGCTTTCTTATGACTTTTCAGTACTTATTTTAGTAGTAATTTTATTCATGGTAGCAGTCTGGATTCCTAGTCTTTTGAGGTTTAGTAATGTAATGCACTCTAAGGATAAGCGGTAACTGCCTAAAATTCTTTGTAATATAAAGGGTATGTTACAAATGGTTTTGCACTAAGGGGCCCAGGTGAAGTGCTAATTTACATATTCATTTTTATGAGCAGATTTGCAAAACACTTGTGCTAACAAGTCTCAAATGGCTGGTTGATGGATGGTTGAATCAGTCTCATTTCTGTCTACACACAAGCCTTCCAGTGTCCTAATGTGCATAAGAAATACAGGCAAGCTGTTTCAGTAGGTTTGCAAATAACTAGAGCATGCTTTCCAGTTCTACTTTGCTGAAGCTCAAAAGCAAGGTTCAAAAGAGAAGCCAGTGGCTGAGAAAACTTGTGTGTGCTATGTAGCTATCTACCCATACACACCAGCTTCTACATTATTCAATAAAATTGTCTAATACCAATATGTTGACAGAATGCGAGTAGGGAGACATTTCAAGTTTTATGATCTTGCAAGCTTAGTCTGTCAAGTTGTAATTTCTGCCCTCATAGTGACAAAGTGAATTGACTACGTAAAATCCTGACCACATTTAATTCTTGGCAAAACTTCTGCTGATTTCAATGGGGACAGGATTTTACTCTGTTGCCTAGCAATAAGATCCAAGAAAGAGGGGAATGGTAAAAGTTTGTATTTATATTTTGCAGCTAGGCATATATTATAATATTCATTGCCTTAAATAGTGTTTTCCCAGCCCATCATAAGCAAAGCGAAGCCACAGCTCTTAAAGACACACTTCCTGCCACTGATGGATAAGCTAAAGAAAAAAGCAGCAGTGGTTGTATCGGATGAAGAACATCTAAGAGCAGAAGGCAGAGGTGACATGTCGGAGGCTGAACTGCTCATCCTAGATGAGTTCACCACTTTGGCACGGGACCTCTATGCCTTCTACCCTTTGTTGATTAGATTTGTGGACTATAACAGGTAGGTGGAGAGGGATAGGTCTATAAATCTTGTAAAATCTTCCTGTTTATTGATACCGTCTCTTATCCTTGATATGCCTAGCACTGAATTCAAATAGCTTTTACTCAGCCTGCCAATCTTGAAGTTGCTCAAGCTGATACTTTATGACTTTTAGGAGGAGCTGGGGTCTTTTTTGGAAGAAAACTGAAAAGAAGGTGCAATCCAAATCTGTTGGATTAGACCTAGGATTAATGTAAAAAAGATTTTAAGGGTTTTGAAATAGGACGTCAAAAAGCCACTGCTACCAGAAAGGATTAAAAGCATGCAGGCTTGGTTTTGTTCACTTGTATCCTTGTCAAATGTTGAAAACTGATTTCAAAGCATAAAGCCAGTGAGGATCATCCACATTTCCACCCTTCTACCAAATTTTAGGGCAAAATGGCTGAAAGAGCCCAACCCTGAAGCGGAAGAATTGTTCCGCATGGTGGCTGAGGTCTTCATTTACTGGTCAAAGTCTCATGTAAGTAATTCCTTAGTAAATACTTGTTTTAATTAGGTTTCTTAGTAGGCAGATCAATTATTATTTAGTGGTTGTATTTTGGAAAACACATTTAATGAAGTGAAACTGCAGATGGGAAGGTATTAAGGACTTTCAATTTTCTGACACTTTTGAAATGCCTGAGTAGCTAAGGGACCTGATGAGTATTTTATAGCATTGTAACACTGATTGCAGATATTTTTTGTATAAATTCTATTTTGTTTTGTTTTTAATATATTAAGCTCATTGAGGTCTCTGCCCTTACCTTTTTTTTTACTCCCAATCAGTTATTTTTTACCCCAACACCCTTTTTAGAACAAGGATGTATGCCTACTAAATTAGTAGTAGTTGTCTCATTAAAGTCCATTTTCCTAAATTGTACAGCCTTTCTGCTTGAGCCTCTAGGCAGAGTTATGATAAAAATCATGTGGAAAGGACCTCAACAGGACTAGCGGAACTAGGATTTCCTGAAGAAAATATGCAGCCCTATTTAAAGTCACTTAATTTGAGTTGCAGTGTAGATTTGTATTTCTTTAATAAAAGTTAAAGATATGTAATTCAATTATTAAGCCCAGGTCTGTAGCTGGATTGAATGAAGGAAAATCAGTAAGTGTGCAAAGAGTAAGAAAGTAACAAAAATATCTTACAACAAATTCTCCATATAAATTTTTTTTTCCTAGATGATACTGTTTCATATTTCATAAATTTTACCAGTTAAGGATTTCTTCTTAATTCCACTTCTATAAAATTTGCCCTCGGTTCTCAAGTCTGATTCCTCTGGATCATATGCCAGAACCAAGGGGTCTTCATTAAGACCTAATCAGGCACTATCGGTGATAGTGCTTAAATGAAAATAAAACATGATTCATGTGAATACTGGAAGAGAAAGAAGAAAAAAAACCCAGAAGAAACTAAATATGTTCAGTTGTTAGATCTCTGTATGGACTATTTTCTATATTAAATGTATTTTCTGCCAGAAATTAAATTGTGTACTTGTCCTTGAATTTGACTCTAAAATTTATTATAAATGTGCTGTACACAGAAGCTGGTTGCACAGTAGATGGATACTGGATCATCAAATTACTTGTGTATTCACAAATTCAGTCTCTTATTTAAAGTTTCTTACGTATCTAAATATAGTGGGATTTATAATGGGAAAAAAGTGGAATGGGTGATTTACTAGTAAATGAAAATGCAGACAATATTTTTATATTGAATTAGAGGAGGAGTGAGATATTTATCATAGTTGATTCTTAGCCAGAGAAACTTTTTTTTTTCTCTCTAACACAGAAAAAATCCCAAGACACACAACCCCCTGAGCTATGTGATGTAAATAAAGCTGGATTTCAAGGCCATTATTGATCATACATTAATTTTTTCTATCCTTGTCTTATCTGGTGGATTTTACAAATTTTTGGTTAATTTATATTTTTATTTAAGGTTTGTTTAGATAGATTTCTCATGTATCATGAGTGCTTTTGACTGAGATCATTTATGTATTTCCAGAATTTCAAAAGGGAAGAGCAGAACTTTGTGGTACAAAATGAAATCAACAACATGTCTTTCCTTATCAGTGACACCAAGTCGAAGATGTCCAAGGTAGTGTAAAGATTTTTATATTTTCCTTTTTGCAGAGGAGAAGGAGACGGGAGACACAGTGGACTTTTAAGGTACTAATGCAAAATACTGGCAATGATGAAATGGCAGTTCCATTGGATAGGCATGCAGCTGTATAGATAGTAAGGAAATTGTCAAACCAGAGACAAGTACAAAGTTACTAGTGCAATTCTTCTATTTAATATTGGATTATTTTCCTCTTTGCTTTATGCTGCAGGCAGCAGTTTCTGACCAGGAGAGGAAAAAGATGAAGAGAAAAGGTGACCGGTACTCTATGCAGACCTCTCTCATTGTGGCAGCACTGAAGAGATTACTTCCCATTGGCCTAAATATTTGTGCTCCTGGAGACCAAGAGCTCATTGCACTGGCTAAAAATCGATTCAGCATGGTAGGTGCTCTTTATGCATTTCTAGAAGCTATAAATATTTTACTAATGAAAGTATTTGAAAGTTTTCCCCCATGCTCATTCTTACAGCATGACACAGATAATCACGGCTCTAATTCTGTTATATAAAGGCACAATGGGTGACTATGGTAGATAGTAATCTGCATATTATTCTCATTTTCAGGGCATAAAACATTTCAGTTTGGACATAGTTATTTTCTAAATGATCAGTTATATTTTATGAAGCTTGAATTTGGAAATGCAAGTAAGAACTGGATGTTTCCTAACTTCTATGCCCAATGTTCTAACTAGATCCTTTTGATCACTTTCATGTGAATGCAAGAATTTCTGTAGGTATAAACTGTTTTAGAATTGATTCTTCTAGGAGTAAACTTACAGTGCAAGGATGTGATTGTAATTTGGAACATACTCCTTTCTCAAGCTATGATACTTTATACACCCTAGCTGGTTATATGACCTTTGGACAGCTGAACTAAATAACAGATAAAAGATCTCCAAAAGAAACAGAAGTTGAATCAGAGAAGGCTGTGTTCTGTTACATTGGCAGGATAAGAAAAAAATTCTGTGTTCATGATACTGGTTTTGTTTGGTTAAAGTATGTATATATGTATATACTAATAATTTAAATTTGGAATTGCATTTAATGTGTTGCTGTGGCAAAATATGAATGATGCCATCCAGAACTTGTTCCTGTGAGCTTGGATATGGCTAACTGGCCTGGTACAAGAAGATGTATTTTCACTGAGATTTTCCTCAATCTTCCATGTTGTTAGTTTTATTCATCATCTGAACTAAACCTAAGTTTGACATCTATATGAACAATATTTTTTCTTTATTGCCTTCTATTCCTAATGTATATGATTTGTAATTTGTTTACAGAAAGATACTGATGATGAAGTACGAGATATTATCCGCAGTAATCTTCATCTCCAGGGCAAGGTAATCTATATGCAGTTTTTAAACATGAGTTTTCTTCCTTTGAATTCATTTGTTGGTGCCATGTAATGACAACCTGCCTTGGTTCGTTAGGATAACTTGCAGTCCATTTTTATCTTCTGTCAAGTAACTTTTCATGTCAATTTTTAATTGTTAGTTTTTACTGTGTTTATTGTTATCAAATTCCAATTAGTGCCAGATGAATAGCCCTAGGGGAAAAAGTCCTGAACTGGCCCAGTGTAGTTGAACTGTTTTATTAATGCTTCAAAAAATGGCAAAGAAGCTGCCATAATATGGAAGTGTAATAAAATTGTGTAAGTTTCTTCTCTATTGAAGGAGAGAAGGACCTATGGAATCGGACCTATGAATGGTACTTTATTTACAATCGTCCTTTACCTCCTCCCCCTGCCCCAGGTTTTATTCACCTCAAGGAAAAAACTACCTAGCATTTCTTGTGCTCGTTAAATAGATGACTTGGTTATGGGAGGGTTCTTCCTGAATAGTATTTGAAGATTAATATTCTCCCATCTTATGTTTTCTGTATATCGCTGCTCACAAAATCATAAAGATAAATGATTTTGCAAAGCTAACACTTAGCATTTTTCATAAAATATTACAAATAACAGTCCAATAGCTTTAAATTATAGGGATTGCAAATAGAAAAGTTTATCACTGAAAACAAAGGATTAGATTAAATGCTAAAATAAGCTTGAAATACTTATAGAGCATTGTTATATACTACGAAGTAGAAGAAACCACACAGGCAAAGTACTAGAAAGAAAAGAGCATTTATGAAGATCTTAATGAGCCGCCGTACTTAAGCAGTGTGCATGCCATGAATGTACACATCTTAAATGTCTTGTGATTTTGTGTGTGAACTTCAGTAACGTTTTCTTAATAATGAAGATAGGTATTTCTATTATGATATTTTCCGTATGTGTATATTGTCTTTTTGTGAGCCATGCCGTTTTAAGTCTTGTCTGGCATTTCATGCTGCTTTTTAGCACTTGTCCTCCCGTTTTAAATACTTCAGTTTCTAGTTTGTTTCTTTAGGGTTACATTCTGCATACTGCTGTTAAGACATTTTTGTCCGTTACTGCTTTGTTGCCTTGGAGTAATGATACTTCTTAATACCTTGATCTGTCCTTTCTCTTCAGAAACTTCCTTTGCTTCAATTAAAAGTTTGCTATTGTTCAGCAACATATCACCTCATCTGTTTATAACACATGAGAATAAAAGTACCTTTAAATTTCTGAATTGATGAAATTTCATGGTGCCTTGATAATTAAGAATGAAGTAATCTTGCCTAATCCAAAACAAACGTTGGCAGATTTTCCAGTTGTGAACTTTTCAGTGGTGTCTTTGGATTTTCTTAATTGTAAAATGTATTCCCAGTGGAAGATGATATTCTGAAAGGGAACCACGTAATACATAGCTAACAAAGCTAAATAACTATTGTAGTTAGCTTTATTTTATAGCTAGCTACATATTAATTTACTAGCTTTGAAAAGTTCTGGTTTTGACCTGTATGTGAAAAGTAGTCACTCAACTATGGACAAAATACAGCATTTCTATGACTTCAAAACTTCAATTTATTATTGTATTTATTATCTGTATTACGATTTGTTATCTATTGCTAAGTAGTTTGTTCTCAGTGGCTTGAAATATATCTTTCAATGAATCATTTAGCACTGAGACAGTCTAGAGTTCACCTTAAACCTCAGTATAACTTAATTATTTAAAAGTATAACGTATAAAGTTAAATTCAATAGTTATTTACAAAGTACAATATAATTTATTCCGTAATACTCTGCTGTTATTAGTATTTAGTCACTATCATGACTGAGACAAGTACACATCAGATACAGTTGAATATGATGTTTCTTAAGAAAAATGATGCCATTGTGCTATATGCATACACTACTCTTTCTTGTCTGAGTCAGTCATAAAAGGAATGTAGGCCAAATGGTCTTATAAATTTAAATTATTATTTAATGTTATGAATTAATATGTAACATAGTTAAAATGGTGTTTGTGTAAGGTGGCTTTCAAAACAGAGGAAAAATACCACTTTTTGGAAAGACTGGTTTTCTTCCAACTATAGCAATATGGTTTCGTCAAATGGTGTTTTCTGCTAACCAGTTTTGTGTCTTACAGTAAGACACCACGTTCTGTCATTTATGTTAGAACTAAAATGGAATTTATCTTGATTTCTTTTTGGAAAACCGCACTGTTTGAGAATCATCCTTCTGAATCTTTAGCTATTAATGTTGTGGCATCTATTTCATGCATTTGTCTATCTTTGTCTACATTTGTCTTCACCCTGTTTCTGTCTTTCCTTTCCTTGCATGCCTGCATGCTGTTACTCAGTACCGAGCCTTTTATTTCAAGAAATTGATGACGAAACTTGCATTCATTTTGACATGGATGAAGCTCAAGTCACCAAAATCTTCTTCCAGCTATGCTAATTCACACCTTGAAATGTCAACTACTCATACCCTTAGAAAACCACCTATACAAAAAAGCTGTACTTTGATAGAATGTGAGAAGTCCTCAGATCAAAAGACATCTCCACCTGTGATTAAAAAGTCTTTTGTGGACTATCCATTCATGATGATCCAGTCAAATGCTCACACAAAGACGGTGGATGTGACAGTTGTTAAGAAATGGAAAAGCCGAAAGGTGGAAGAAATGCTTATCAATTGTGGCTTTCCAGGTTGTAATAAGCTATTATTGAGCGACTGTGTAAGTGTATAATCATTCCTGGAACTTCAGTAAACTGTGTATCATTAGATGTTTTGTGGAGGTGAACTAGCATTATTGTCTCATCTTAGGCACAAATTGAAATCTGGATCCACAAACAAATTTTAGAAAAATAAGGTTTAAGCCCTATTCAAATCTGTAGGGTCTAGGCTCCTAAATGCTCTAGGAATCCAGGCCGGTGTGACTTAAGCCTAAACTGCATGACCAGGAATGATCACTGGCCACAGCTCTCAGTAAGATGCATTATGCACTGCATTTGTCTTCAGTGTCATTGGCACAAAAAATGGTTGCAAAGTGTGTTGCATCAGTGTTGATTAACAGTAGTGCTGGGAGGAAAAAATGAACCAAAAAAGAGATTGCTAATGGCAAAACAGAGAATCACAGATCAGTGAAATGGGAAAAATCAAATGTAAAGAGAAAAATGAGAAAAAACATTTTGCTTCATACAGTTCTTTATGATTTGTAAGTTAATAAGGAAATGCATCTTGAATTCATTTTTCATAAATTAACTTTTCATTTTTTAGCTGATAATCAGTAAACTTAGGATTTTGTAACAATTGAAAAAAAACTAAAATGAAAAAAAATTGACATAAATAAGACTAATATGACTAACTTCCATGACTGAAAACTAAATAATCCCAGCTAGTAGAGCAACAATATTATTGTTTGGTTTAATGCTGGAAAGTTACTGTACAAAGTTATGTCTGTCTACCTCATATTCATTACTTTTCCTCAAATAATATATTCATTGCCGGTGCCAGTGCTTGTGTTGGCCTATGATCATTTGCTTTTTGTATGATTATTAGACTTTTAATCTTCTGGAAGCTCTCAAGAAACATTGCACAAATCAGTCTTTAGTTTTGTTCTCCCAGTCAATGTACTGGACGCTGTATAGGTTAGCCATGTAAAGGTGTGGGTTAGCCATATAAAGTGCTTCTGTTGTCCTTTGAAGCAGTTTCTGTACTAATTAAACTGTTTGACCCTATGTTTGGAACATTTTGCCTTGGTGACCTGTGAAATCTTTCTCCTGCAGCTTGAGGATCCCGCCATTAGGTGGCAGATGGCACTTTACAAAGATTTACCAAACAGGACTGAAGATTCCTCAGATCCAGAGAAGACTGTGGAAAGGGTCCTTGATATAGCTAATGTGCTGTTTCATCTAGAGCAGGTTAGACATTTTCCCAATTCCATTGCTTCTTACTCTAAACAAAAGTATTCAGCCTTTCATTTGTACTTTCACCTGCTGTATTTCATATTATATTCTTTTTCCTTTCTTTTGATGGCTATTTACGTGTTTTTTGCCTTGGGTTTTGTAATACAGTATCATGGTCATATTGATCTCACAGTGTGCAGCAGCTCCAACAATCATTCAGAGAAGGACTGAGAAAGTGATGACTATATTTTAGCTTCCTCTGGTGCATTTCAGCTAGCAGGAAGTAATCAGTGAATTGTGAAATTTTACCTGTTGTTGAAATACGTGTGGAGCGAGCAAAAAGTGATAGAATGTGGAAGTAAATCCATGGCAATCATGGTTAGCCTAGTAGAGGGAGAGAGAGACAGGAGAATGGGTGTTGATTTGAGAGGATATAGTGTGGCTGTGAAGAAGAAGGAAGAGTGGGGGAAAGCTACAAATGTGGGGGCAAAAGGTCTTGTCTTTTACCCTGGGTTTATCAAAATTAACCGAGCTGAAAGGAAATTGATTAGCATGTACAGAGTTGCACAATTCAGCATTAGACTCTTGTATTTGAGTTCAAACAGTATATGCATCTCTTGATTCCTGGCATTTTAGATATACCATGATGTATATAAATTGGTTAAGCTTGTGTAGTTTGGAGAAATTGTTCAAGGGAGTTGAAACCCAAGGTATGATCCTTGTGTTTTCCCTGTTCTGTCATAGGATCAATCTCATAGCATGTAGAATCCAGCAGTACTAAGAACAGGATGGATTCCCAATGTAATACCAGATCGACATTTCAGATCAGTTCTTCTGATCAGACTTAAACAATGACTTGTAGTGAAGTAAACGCTGGCTGATTTTATTCTGGGTTGCTCTGCACCTATTTGTGTAAAGATTTGGCCCCACAGCTTTACTTATGTTCTGTAGCAAGTGCTCAGGTGCTTTTGTGACTGAAATGGGTCATTCAATGTCTTTAAAAATAATGAATATGCAAGCACCAGGTCTCTTATGATAGTCTTGAGTAATCCTTTTCTCTCCATATACACTCTGTTCTCCATATATACATGCTCTGAATGCTTTCCTTGTTGCACTGGCAAAGATCAGTTCATTCTTTGTATTTTCTTTCCATGCACAGCTAACTAATTTTTTTTATTATTTTCAGAGATCTGCTTGCGTAGGCCGAGGCTATTTCTTTTGGGAAAGTATAGAGCATTTTGTAGTTGTTTGTGAAGATTTTACTAATTACCTAACTTTCACATTCGGGTTTGTCTGTCTTCTAAATTATTAGCACAGACTTTGTGACTGTCAATATGTTTGCAGTGAACACTTTTCTATACTTTCTCTTATAAAATACAAATGAAAAATATTTGTTCTTTTGGAAGAAACTTGTTTTACGAATGTTACCGTTTAATCTTACAAGTGTAATTATCTATTTCATTGAATGTTTGTCAGTATTAGTCTGTTTAATTAAATGTTTATTGTTTAACTATGAATAATTTTTCGTATTTCACTAAGCTAGAAAAGTCCTCTTGCATAACTATGTTTGGATTGAATATAGAGTCTACATAAACATCATCATCACTACATATTTTAAATAAAATGCTTAATTTTATTACAAGGGAGAATCACCAATTCTTTCAGGGTAGAGACGCTAACTTCCATTGACTCTTTTGATGATGTTGGGAGATAGAGGAGCTATTATTCCACTAGCACAGTTATCCATAAAAGAAAGAAACAAACCCCCCACAAACAAACAACCAGCCCCCCCCCAAAAGACATCCCCCCCCTTAACTCTACAGGAGTTGTGTAGGTTAAATCAAATGATATAACCTTTATAGAGCAATTGTGAAGTAAATCACAAAGACTGTGAATAGGCTGTGGGAAAGGAGTGATCTGTAGCACAGCCAGCCATCTTAGTTCCCAGTTATCCAGTCAGGCTATATACTGTTATATGCAGTTACTCTTCTGGACCACAGGAGTAATTTTCTTGTGGTGGAAACAAGGATGGAGGGTGGAACAAAAGAAACTGAAAGAGCAAAAGATGAGGATGGAGCACACCCAATTTCATCTCATGCTACTGTAGAGCCAGGATGCCAGAAGAGAATATATCTGAAGACAGAGCTGTAGTATTATGAAATGTAGCTGAAGTGTTTTTGAATATCTTATGTTTATTCTAGCTATGCAGATTCATGGAAGGGATTTAGTCCTGACTTAGTCTCCACGCCTGTCTCTCATTTTTCAAATTAATTCCTTTCCATAGTAGCTGGTCATGGTAAATACCACAAATAAAAGACTAACTGCATTTAAGACAATTCCTTTAAAAGTATTGTCTGAGGCAATGTGAAAGTGTGCAATTTATTTGTACATATGTAAAGAGTTACATACATATAAAAGATAGAGTGAAGATTCTTTGAATTAAAAGTTAAGGTTTCCTGAGAGATGGCCTCAACGATTATAATCTATCTAAAAGATATAAGAAGTAGGATGAAGTAAAGGAGGAGGATATCTATATCATACAAGGAAAGCATATTTTCACGTCTATTATTCTTCTGTTATCTTTCCACTTGATTTATCTGTTACCTCACATTTTTATTATTAGTACTATTCCCAGACAGTAGGGACATTGCCACATTGTTTATTTTTCCCTGTGTATTTTATGTAACAGGTTGAGCATCCTCAGCGATCCAAAAAAGCCGTGTGGCATAAGCTGCTATCTAAACAGAGGAAAAGAGCAGTCGTTGCCTGCTTTAGAATGGCACCATTGTATAATCTGCCAAGGTAAGAGCTATATTTGTTCTATCTTTCACAAATGCATTTATGTCCATACAGTGCTATTTGGCGAGATCAAAAGGAAGAAAAATACATAAACCAGTAATTGATAAACTGTGTGGTAATGTACTTTGTATATTACTTTCTTTTAATAGATCTAATTGCTTTCTTATATCTCCTGAAAAGAATAACAGAAAGTATAATTTTGAATTTCTGGTTCTCTCCTCATGCTGTTACTCCATCTGTTCATCCTGGTATGTTTTCTTTTCTGAAACGTAGATACCTTTCATAGGAGATAAATGCAGAAATGGACATATTGGTGTCACTGTAATATCATCTTGGGAGATAAATGTCCTCCCAAGCCATGGTATAGCTCTGGAAATACGGAGTTACCTTTATGTTTAGATGCTCTATATGCAGGATAGATGGATACTATTTAGCTGGAAAACTTGTCTGTCTATTGTGCAATTTTGGAAAGAGCATTCTATTAGACAAGAAATATATGCACATACTCTAGGCATTTCACACCTTTTCTTGTGGCTCCTTTTCCTCTTCTTTCTTGTTTAATAGAGAACGGGATCTATAGTCAAGCAAATTTCAGAATCCTGAGATTCTGGAAGAAATGATCATTCTGAAAAATTAGACATCTGTTTCTTCATGCAATTGCTAAAAATAATGTCCAGAACACTTACATCTCATCTTTTCAACATAATAATGTTCTCAGTTGTTCCCAAAAGTATGCATATTATTACTATTACCATAGCTAGTAGGATGAATCTTAAAAGTATGTCCCAGGAAGCACAAGGGCGTGAGACTCATACTAGCCTGAAATGAGATTGCTATGACAGTTGAAAATAGAACAAAGATATTTCCATCTGCAGCTGTTCTTACTATAACAAGTAGGTCCCCTACACATAACTAGCATTCCTGTATGTTTTAATTATACTTCTTCCTTTTCAGTATATGAGACTGGTAGTTGTTTAAAATAAATTAAGATGATTGATAAAATTCTTCATGGAGAATTGGTTGTCGCACAGTCCCTTTTGATTGAATCCTTAAGAAAAAAAAACAAAAAACAGTAAACAACATCATTGGCTTACCCTCTTTCCCCTAGGCTCATCATCCATTTAATTTCATGGAGTTTGGAAAAAATGGTTTATTATTTTAGATATGCAAGTCTAGTCCTGAACATCAAAAAAAAAAGCCATTATTTGAACACAATCCAAAGTTATCTATTGCTGTTATCTTAATATTTAAATTAAAACAATATGAAAATATTTTATATTCAAAATAAAACTCACTAATGTGACAAGTAGTTGATGTTATTTCTTACCAGTGTTTAAATTTATTTAAAGTTCTATTTACTATCTGCTCCTAAAATCATTATTATTGCATTTTAATATAATTTTTACAAGTTAATGGGACAAGAGTTTTTAATAGAATGTTTTAATGTAAACTTAATTTTTAAAATAGGTTTTAAAACATGGCAGGTTTTACCATAGAAATTTGCTTTCCTTTTAAATGGTAGTTGTAATGACTGGACAGTTCTTCAAGTTAAATGCAATTCATGTTGACCAAATCTTTTCTTTAAAAGTTTACAGGTTTTGTTTTAAATGTCCCTTTTTAGGCACCGAGCCGTCAATCTCTTTCTTCAAGGCTATGATAAATCTTGGATTGAAACAGAAGAACACTATTTTGAAGACAAACTCATAGAAGACTTAGCAGTATGTGTGGGGACAAAGGGTTGTGGGAATGTATTATAGATTAACATTCATCTTGTATAATAATTATTATGTCTGCGAGGTATATAGGATATCATCTAAGCTATTTCTACCCAAAGGGGTGAGCTATAACCGTCACTCCGACAGGTGTTAAAAATCACAAGTGATGGAGATTCCAGAATCCCCTCAGGCAGTCTGCTTCAGGGCTTCAGTAACCTTTTATAAAACTTTTTAAACTATTGTCTAAATCATGTGCCAGTTGCTGTCATTCCCCTCTCTCTTATCTTCTGCCCTGTGGAGAAGGGGAACGTTCTTTCTTTGCAGTTAACCTTTATGTATTTGAAGACTTCATAACCTACGTTAAAGCCATTTAAGTCAAAAGGTTAGAATATGAAACTAGAGGAATTCTAGTCTTAGATTAATCAGTCCCTTGGAATCAGACATGAAAAGGGTGTTCACTGGGGCTGTCTCGCAGAAGAATCCTCTTGTATAGCTTGTCAGGGAGGTGAGGATTTTTCCCAGCAGTAAAGTTAGAGCCATGTCTTCAGCCTGGTAAATCCCCAGAGTGATTTTCAGTAAACTCTTGTGTCCTCATCCATTACAACTGTCTCTCAGAAAGGTAGTCCTTTCGAGGACTGGGCAAGGACTAGTACTAGGAAATGATTCAGTCCCTGGGAGGGCCAGTAGAACACAGTCTGAGATCAGTCATCTTATTGTGAGGAGACCCTGCTTTCTGCAACAGAAAGGGGAAGGTAACTGGAAAATTGCTATTAGAAAAAAACAATTTGCTTTAAAAGCACCTACCCAAGCTGTGAACAATTTTGACAATAAAGATGAAAATAGTGAAAGGAGCAATGAACTCAAAACAAGCAGACTATGGAAGTTCTTTTTTGCCTGCACACAAGCAGAACTCATTTCTTGTGGCATTCTTTTTGTATCCGCAAGCATTGTGAAAAAGCAAGAGACTTCTGCAAATACTTACTTTGTATACAACCTTTGAAACGGATATCTTCATGTGTCCCAACACACTGCAAATGTTTTAAATAATGCAGGTTCATTGCCAAAATAATTATTTTTTTAGCAGTTGAGTGCATGTGTGTGTAGATATGGAATGTGGAACAACGTAGCTCTTTGCGTGTATGTGTATACATACGCAGGTACGTATGTGTGAAAAAATAACCCAGCACGATCATTTGCTTACACTCCGAAATAAAGGGTTGTCTCCTTACCACCTCTATGAAACCATACCTTTGCAAAGTTTATGAAGAACTCCTTTCTGGCAGGTAGCTTATGTGAAAAACTGTCTTAGAGAAGACAGAAACAGACTGGATTGGCTCCTATATTATCCTTTAGTAAAGGACTACAGGCATTCCCTTGTCAAGCATACAGATAACTGTTTCCAGCACTCTCTTAAAGGGAGATGTATTGCAGCACCTTTCATTCAAAAGAGCAAACTTTTAAATAAATTTATATCAAATTCTTGCTACTTTAGAGCACTCTCCTGGTGAGGTGAGAGTTTGAGGTTCTACTGTTCAGCTCTGTGGAGCTGACCCAGACTGTTGGGTGGAGTTCATGAAAGATGCTGTTGTGACGCTGGTGAAAGATCTCTGTCCATCTTCGAGAAAATGTACCCTGATGTAGCAAGGAATTTAAGAGTTGTTGGACTGTCAAGACGGAATTAGAGCCTAGGCTGTGGTGGCAGAGTTGGTCTGGAAGGGGAGAAAGGAAGAGCCTTGGATTCTCTAATGTATGCTTGAAGGATTGTCTGAAGTTTCAGAACTGTTCACATATTAGGTTGAAAACTGGAACAATCCAGGGCCCAGAAACTATAGCCAAAACTCCCTGTCCTTGAAGTCTTTGTAGTCAGTAGACTACAGTGTTCTATGCCATAGTGTGTTCTTTTTCAATACTGAGAATCTTGATCTCTCTTTTCTGCTAAGTGAAAATAATTTAAAGGGAGAAATGCAGTAAAAACCTACCTCCTTCCTGATGCAGAAGATGAGTGCTTGCATCCCCTAAAGCAGAGGACTGGGCTAAACTTGCAGTTTTGTCCCCTGAATCTTCTGCCCTTTAGTCCCTTATACAAAAGTGGCACTACTTCTTCCGCCTCTGTATATTAAAAGAAGAAAGCATACACAAGTCCTCTATTTGAGGAGCTTAATTCTGCAGATTCTTAATCCTGATTTAACAGATCAAAACTCTAAGGGAACTAGCTTTCTAATGTTTGGTATTATAAGATACTCAATACTCTATTAATAGTTAAAATGCTTCTGCTTTAATTAAACAGGTTATATGAACACTTAAGCTTATGTGGTACAATTATTGATTGGTTGGTAGGCATTACTGGACATAATACTTTATAAGAACAATATGTTTAATGACTGTTTAATAATTAGATTATATAAAAATTATCTTTTTTAAATTTTCAACATTTAGAAATGGCAACTAAAACTTACCCAACTTATTTTTTTTATCTTCTTATGTTACATTCAGTTAAATACTGGCAAATACACAGGGCAAATGTCTCAAAACATTGAAAATTAAGACTGCTTATTTCACAGAAATGTCAGAAAATTATTTGGTTCTAGTATTTATGCTTTGCTTTAATACTGAGTTCTATTTAGTCATTGATGAATTTCATCCTCCATTTAATTTGAATTAAATCTATGGTCACTAATAACTCCTATTAAGCTTTAACACAGCTTCTGCCCTTTTGCTTCATTAGTTTTGATAACATTAGAGAGGTATTCTGGATTATAAGATGACCAACTATAGAATGCTGTCATTTAATTAAAGAGAAAGGTTAGCATCCTAAATGAGATTGAAATAAAGAGCAGGGGAACACCTCCATAATGCTGAGATATAACTAGAGTTATAATTTTCATTGTTCAGATCTTGTTATTGATACTGAAAATATTGTCACGTATTGCAAAATGTGAAATGAACCTTGCATGGCCATCATAACTAGCATGTGTAACAGTTATTGTGCATATATGTCAACTAAAGTGAATCCTCAGCTGCAACCAGTCATGTTTAGTACAGCTAAGTGGACATGGTGGACTTCACAGGCATGTATGAAGTGTAGTACAGAGAGATCTATAAGCATTCCCACAGGAATGTATTTGACACTAGCACACGCAATTTTTTTCTTAATGGGCAAAAACCCATGTTCCTTGTATGTATCATGTGGCCAACCCTTCCTTACTGCTAATAGATAACATCTGATATTATAATAATTTCTTACTTGTGCAGTCTTACCAATGCGTGGAATTCTTTTTATTTATATTTTAGTGTATACTGCTAGGTGAAAACAAGGAGGAAGAGTGGGCATAATTTATGCAACCAATTTTCTTTGAGCTACCAGATGCTTTGTAGAAAAATATGTCTGGACGAAGCAATTTTATGAAGAACTTGATGTGCAAAACTTAATTTCTGAAATCTCTTTTGGCAAAACACAAGAAGTCAGAGGACAGATTTTGTATAGATTCTTTTCAAAACACTACTTCGGTGGCTGCCTTTATAGTATTTAGGACTATACTTTTCTTTTAGAGTGAACTAACTAGAGCTGTCCAAACCTGAAACCAAAATAACCACATGAAAAAAACTATTTGTATATATATATAATTGAATGATAAATGTTATTTTTTATATATTATTGATTTATTTTCTTCTAAAATTCTATATCCTGCCAGCATTACGTTGTTGGTAGATAAGGCTCCTTCTGTCTAAAAGTATTGGAGCTTCAAGTTTGGATTTCTTCTCCCTCAAAGCCTCTTAGGGTTCCTCAGCAAACATTATACCTGGCATAAGACTTGGAACAGAGGATTCTAATTTTTAGCTGATGAAGCTTGTTAACATAGACAGGCACAGACAATATAAGAGCAAATGATGGCATCTGGTTACCACTCATTCTGGATAACAGCAGTAAGAGATTGAAGTTATTTTCAGAATCTAGGGAAGAGGGTTAATTTTTATGAGGAGAGGAAATCCAAAGCTTTGCAAATGGCATCATCTTTGTAAGTCTTCATGGTCACAAACATGATCAGGGTTCAGGCTTTTCACACGTACCTTGCTTGGAACTTGTTTCCTCCTGGTTGTCCAAGTCAAAATTATATATGTGAATATTTAATGTTTAATAAATTGCACAGATTAAATAATTTTTCACTATAAATAATTGAATATACTTTTAAAATCTTTTTTTCCCTAAAGAAACCTGGGGAGGAACCACCGGAAGAAGATGAAAGCCTTAAAAGAGTTGATCCTTTACATCAGCTTATTCTGCTATTCAGTCGAACAGCCTTAACTGAAAAATGGTAGGGATGGTGTGAGAGACTGGAGAGTGTATGCAGATTTTCAGATTACTCCTGTATTTGAAGTTATACATGTCACTGTTCAAGTTAGATTGCACAGGCTAGGCCAAAACATGTGCGTATGTACATATGAGGAGCTTGAGTTACACCGAAACCTCTCTAGCCTGTGGTATGTAAAGAGATTTTAATATGACTGATGAGATGTAAGGAGTTTTCTAGAGACAAATAGATGCCCCTATACACTTTTTCACAATTAAGGATGCTATGTTTAGGACTTAGTACACCTCTGTCTTCTGTCTGTGTTCCCTATTGACAGTTATGTTCTGAAAGTGAAATGTGAGTATATTCTAGGTATAATTGAAAAATTAACTATGTTCTCTTCATTGAAAGGTGTTTATGAATTTCTGAGCACTGTGTTTGTAGGTGGCTTTGCTTTTCAGTTTGTGTTAGTAAATCAAGTCCTCATTTTCCAAGAAGACTTTTGTAATTAATTATGAGCACAGAAATTCTTTAAAAATATTTTTAAGGTGCTTAAAAATGTTTTGGAGATCCAGTTCTACTATAATGGCTCTAACCTTCCCCATTTTCCCTTTTCTATCTCTATTAACCAGTAAATTGGAAGAAGATTTCCTGTATATGGCTTATGCTGACATTATGGCAAAGGTAATTTTTTTGCTACCTTTTGCATCTTTTCTGTTTTAATAAAATTAATGAAGAAGATCATGAGAAATTCTGTATAAAGTGAACTAAGGTTTACTCCCCACCGTGACTTACCAGTAAATGTTTTCTTTCTACATGGTATCAGAGCTGCCATGATGAAGAAGATGATGATGGTGAAGAAGAAGTAAAGAGTTTTGAAGTAAGTTTATACTTCTGTTTTATTTTTCTTGTCATATTGGACATTATTTCATAGCTTCCAACTGACATTTATGTTTCTTGGTTCATGGCTTACTGCAGCTTATATGCCAGTGAACTGCATGTCAGAAGCTGCATTGGCAGATATGAGTCACCAGATTCATAGCAGTAAAACAAAAACATACATAGTATCAACTAATATAAGATTATAGAGAGAATAATTTAACAGATCTTACATGTTTATCTGACTGACTTTAACATTTTAGTTGTTGAAGAGGAATATTATGAGTAGCAACTTATTCTGGAAGTCTGATAATAACAAGCTGTATCTTGTAAAGTGTCAGGTTCTACCTTAGTTTGGATTGTTAAAATACCAAAATAATACTGCTATTTGCCAGTAGTCATTTACATTCAGTACCTGTAATTTATACAGTATTTTTATGTTCATATATATATAAGTGCTTCTTAGTAAAAGGTGAGCTTTTATTCATCAATACTGACAAACTTTTCCTTATGTTGAGAATAGGAATTCTGTATTTGTTTAATGTTGAGTTTTTAGTGATCATCACTGTATAAGGAAACATACTTACATGAGTTGATTACAACAGTGAGAGATGAGTCCTTGTCATGTGTTTGCTCTGGGATCTGTCTCTCTTTTTCCATTAATATAATGGAGATTACAAGAAATTTGTTTGTTCTGAGGGGCACTGAGGGATTAGCTTGTTAATATTTTTAATGTTTTAGTATATTATATTTCTGACATTGAAAGTTACCTTATGTCTTTCAAATAAATTAATACTTAATATCTTTACTAAAACACAGAAACATAAAATACATGTTTTCATTATTTCTTTAAAATATTTCTAAATATACTGATTGATATGATATAAAACTACCTGTGCTGTTTTGATTTTTGAGGAGTGGTTTGGGGCATGTTTACTTTTACTCCCATTGTTTTGTACACATCAGGTGGTCTGTATGTTTTCTACATGATGCTGCAGGAGACAGCACTGAATTATTTTAAGTATATATTCCCTATTTGGCTGTATATAGAAATCAGAAAGAATATGAGTACCAAATTCTTTTCAGTCATTCAGAAGTTCTAGTCCAGTTGAGTTACAACTAACATACCCAATATATACATTTCTGTTTTTTGATAAAAATCTAAGTATGAATCAAAATTTCAGTGCTTCCTGCCCCCCCAAATGCAATTTATGACGTATCATTGACTGAAAAAAGGATATTTATTTCAATAATCTTTAGTCAGTTAGCCCATGAATGCTTGTTAGATATCAAAAATCTTGTGCTTATAAATGTGAAAATTTATAAATAGGAAGTCATTGAAGTGAAGAGTGCTCTTTACCTAAATTATAATGGGTTCCTTGTTCAACATTTAACTTTATCTTTTGAGAGAAGATCCTATTCATTTGTTTCTCATTATTTTTTCTTTATCTATGAAACTTATATTCAAATAATGTATTAATCTGTTCAGAAGAGAATTTTGTGTGTGTATTTGGTCAGTCACCTGCAGAAAAAAAACTTTGGACTTCTTTTTCTTATTGCTATTTCGCTTCTTGTCCTTGCCCTTCCTTAAGGTGACAGGATCACAACGCAGCAAGGTAAAACAAAAAATATGTGTGTATTTGTCTGGGTCTAATTTTGTGACTTTTGGGCCCGACATCTTGGATAAATTCAACTAAAGGGTATTGAAAATGTTTTTAACATTTCAGTTCCAGCATGACATCTCTACCAAACCCTTCTTGTGCACAGACTCTTTTTAAAGACTCCAATAATTATTTCTACAAAGTATTCCATATAAAATTACGTTGCCATTTTGGGGAAAGCAGAGTGTCATTTGGATTGTTAATATTGTTTTGCCTTTTGTGCATCAGTTATCATCTTTCTCGTTACAACTTCATTTGAATGATTAAAATCATTCATTCGGCTCTTAAGGGAAAGCAGCTGGACTTTTCTTCTGTATCTTAGCAGACATGCATTTCTTATACAGTAGTAGAATTCTGTTTCCAGTGTTTGTCACAGAGAGACCATCAATTATATTCTAGCTTATCTATGACTCAGATCCTTTGGAATGGACCGAGTCCTTAGCCCTCATTGTAATAGTACCTTATAGAAACTCCATAACTACTCCATATCTGAAGTGACTCCTACTTGTTCCATGTTTTCTCTAAAAACATACAGGCAGTAGCTCTGAAATCTCACAGTGCTATTTTTTTTATTGACTCAATTTCTTACACAGTCTTTTGTGTCTCATCATGAAAGTCTCACCATTTGTTTCTAAAAGGTGGCCCATGGCTTAAGCACCAGCCTACTTGCCTACTTCATGCAAGTAGAAGTCTCAGTTCCCATTGTTGCCTCAGGTTGCTTGCTGATAGCACTGCAAGGTTGACGTTCTGAGAGGAGGTATGGTGTGTGGGGTAGCTAGTTTTTGATTCTGAGGTGTTTAAATGTAATTATTTGTGTTGTGGCTAATGGCAGCTAGACTGAGTAGAGGTGACATGCTTGCTATATTGGGAATGCACAGATTTAGCTGGTGGTCAGACTCCAGTCAATAGCTTGAAAGTTCATTGCATATGACAATATGGGGAACAATTACAACCTTCTTCATTGAGAAGAGTAAGACAGTTTTGGAGTTTTCTTTGCTAGCACTTCTATTAACATTAATTTCACAAAAGAAAGGTGTTCCCATACAGCTGTGGAAAGAGAAAATGTATTCCAGGCTCAGCTTCACTCTGACTCCTTCAAAAGTTTGCACAGATCTGTTCCACCTTCATACGATAAAGGCATTATCCTGGAACATGAATGCACCCACACAGACTTACAAAAAATTGTTTAAAAGGTATTGTAATTGCCACAAAGTACATATTACAAAACCCCAAAGAAAGTATATAAGCAATCTAATAGTATAATTTCTTCTTTGTTTCTTCTGCTAATTCAGCTATTCAAATACAACATATCTATCACTCTGCCTACCTGGTTACCATCCACTAAATGCTATATGCTCCATAGAAAATTTTCTGTCTTGCTGATTGAGAAGTGTTTTCAAAGGGAAAAAAAACATGATAATAAATAATCCTTGCTTCCTTCATGCATGACAAGAAACAGTTGTAAAGATGTGAGACCATATATACCTGCTGAGTGTGTGCATTTTTGTGTTTCTGTCTGACAATCTATCTATCTCCAAGTCCAATGTTGAAGATAGCTTTTTTTATTCCATGCTCTGTATGCATGTGAAAAGACTGACTATTCAATCTGTATGGCAATAAACTACTGCTCCTCTAGACCTTAAAAATATGTGATGTTTGAAGTCCTGAATCTTTTCACAGAACAACAGAGACCTTTGGGCAAGCTTAGAATATGATAAAAATGACAAGTCTATTTTATCAGGAATTTTCATGCCCATATCTCATGCCATGTAGTCTCATTTTTGTACAAATAATCTGTATTGGGATCACTGTGTGGGCAATAGAGAGGTCACAATATAAACCCACAATAAAGTTGTCTGTGCATTACTGTGTGCCTGTCTGCATTTGCCTGCTAGTATTTGCTTTGAATTATTATTATTATCTTTGCTCCTTGCCCTTTGTCTCTAAATTAACTTTCTATCCTATTGAGCTCAATTGACTCTGTGTATAGTGGGTGTCAGTGTGACCCTTGATCCTATCTGATAGGAAATTGTTTCCAACCAGTGTTTCACTAGCTGAATGCAAATTGATTTCTGCATTTGAGTCACTGACTACTGGTTTGCTACATATTAATGTGCTCTAAATACATGTAGGATGAGGACTCAGAAAAAGGAATCAAAACCTACCTCATCTTTTTAAAATATGTTTATTTAAATTGGCTCTTCACAGGAAGAAAAGAAATGGGGGAGATAGAGCTTCCTATGTCAGTTTTCTTCATCGCTGTTACTGGTAGCAACTTTGTTGATAGACTTTTGTATGCGCTGTCACTGACCTCAGGTACGGAAAGACTTGCAAGTTTCAGTACATACAAGTAATGCAAGCTCTTAAGGCTCTAGACCATTGGAGATGGTCACTGTTATCTTTCACCGTCACAAAGCCTGCATAAATGGAGTGACCATATACCATGTATTTACAGTAACTATTTTTGTTAAAGAATGATACGAATTAAGGTCAGACTCCATGATAAATTTATCAATTCTTAGGAATTAGTATGCAAAAAATGTGTTTCTCGTTAGTTTTCCCTACCCATAATGGAATGGATGCAACCTAATTCGTGGTTTCACTATCTGCAACTACAGGATAAGTTATTTATACATCTAGTACAAAAACACAAACCTATGGTTAAATAAGATTTGATCAGTTTTTACATGTTGTCATAAGGGGGGTAGAGTTCTTTTGTTATTTCTTATGTACACATGGTGTTGATATTGGGCTATTTGTTAATGCCAGGACCTTCGTTCTTTTTCCTTCTTGTGTGCCCCACCACCCTATTTCCATCAGTCACTGTTTTTTTTTTTTTTTATTATATGCAAGAAATACAAAGTGTCTGTAATCCAGTAAGAGAACGTACGATGTCCACCACTAGACAGTCAGCCCTTCACTTCTCATTTGCTCCTACTTGTTTGCAGTGTTTTGATTCCCCACAATCTATAATAGCAATAACATAGGGTCAGTGTCATTAATACATTCTTTGATACAAGGTCAGCAGTTCTGAGTTTCTTGCCTATCTGGCAACGTTGTTTTGGGCTATATGTACAACCTCTCATTGACTATGGGAAATGTGCAGCAAAAGTCTTGTAGGGAATCTCTTTTCTACACAGTGAGTAATACAGCCATGCTTTTCTCTGGGATTCAGTTCAGGGGCTTAGTGATAAATGATGATTTAAGTCTGTTCATTAAGATCTTTCATTGCGTCCTCTGGCTGCTTCCCATCTTCTGTGTTTAGTAGCATCTCTTCCCGCTATGTTGTTGCTGCTGCTTATACCAGCTTTAGTGCAGTACTTCTCACGAGTACTCCCAGGCATCCATCTGATGGTTCATCTCAAACACCAACTGCCACTCCATGCTTCGTGGCTGTGGCACAACAGGACAGGCTGAGATCTATGTAAGGCAGGGCCTCTGGCAGCCCTGGGGTAGAAGAATGGTATGCTTTAAAGAACAAATTCATTACAATGATTACATGACCATTTGTGGCTTCCAGTTCTTTGTTTCGTTTTAATGCAGTGATTACCTAAGTTACCAAATTATCCCTGTACATAAGGTTTTCTGCTCCAGCTAACCAATTCAACTTCAGTCATAGTGGAATCGTATAAATGATCTGTTGCCCCCTTTTTTGTATTATTCCTATAGAGAGTTAGATATATATGTCAGCTGTACATCAAATACATAAAATTTGTCACCCAACTTTAAGCAAGAAAAGGTGACACAGTTTGAAAGTAACATAGAGTTTTATAGCTATGGAACAGTGGAGGAAAAAATTGGAAACTGGGAATACATAGATTTGAAAGTCACCCAGTACTGTATTTTTCCTTTTGGAGACTCAATACAATAGTTTCCTATCTACTTGAATAGAAATTAATATGTTGAGTGATCTCATCAGCATGGCAAAGAATATGGAGGCAGTATGTAGGAAACAGAACTAACTTCCTTACCAGTGAGGAAGATGTAATTGAATGACAGTGTAAACATGATGACATCAGTAAAGATACTGCTGCAAGTGGAAATGGAGACATTTTAACCAAAACAAAATAATCTGCATAGTGAAGGTTTTATTTCAGGGTATCTTCATTCCTGTACAAATGTAGCTCAGATTTAATGCTATTTTAACACAGAGTACTGTTTTGTTTCGTTTAGTATATTTTTTTGTTTGCTTTATAACTATATATCGTACGAACAAAATATACTTGTAATACAACATTAAAGTTTTTAATACAGATTATTCAAATGCCAGGAAATATGAAATATAGTGTTGCTAAAACTATCCTTACTTTGTGCCCATGTGGATTATTGTGCTGACTGTTGATCTTGAGGAACATAGGTATGTCATAAAATCTAATGATATCACATGATAATTTTTTTCCTCCCAGGCATTTATTATTGGGCAGAGTCAGCAATACACCTGGTGTACTCTATACTTTCTGAATATTGGTGTGAATACAATAAATAATTTTGATGAATGGTCGCTAAAATTCTCGTGTCTCTTCAACTGTTATATTATGAAGCATTTAATAGCTTTTTGCTATCTTGTCTGAAATTTGTTAAAAATTCATGAATAAGATGGTTTGTTCCTGTTCAATTCTCATTTTCCCAGATAGTTTTTAGATCAGTGTTACTTCCTTTCCTCTCATCTTGCCATATCACAAAATACTTATGCTAACACCCCAGAAAGCTGAGTGTTGTTTACAGCCAATCAAATTGAAACAACCTTTTTTTAAAAACATGTTTTTCCTAGCTTTGTATTATTTTTATCGTTATGATTTGTTTAGAACCAACAGTGATAAAGGTGAATGCAGGGAATATTTTCAAATTTCATTAAATCATTGAGTTAAGATAGAGCAGGTAAAAGCATATGTTTACTTAATATTTAATATACTACTACAGGAAGTCTACCAGTGTTCTAAAGTCATGTAAGGAATTATTACATTCAAAATAAATAGCTGTAGTTTTGAGGAAATTCAAAAATGGCTATCAGACTGCCACTGACTGCATATATCTAAGAAAGTGGTAATTAATTTATGAACTTATTTATTATTTTTAGTGATACTTAGATACCACTTTCAAGCATTTTCAGAAGTATTTACTTGTATAAAGGAAGTAATATCAACTGATAGATGGCTTTAGAGATGCCTGCATTGAGACATGTCAGTATTCCTAAATAAACTCTGGAACAGTACATAGAACAAGAAAGCACTGCATGTGGCAGAGAATTGGCTTTAGAATGGCCACTCATTTATTATGAAATTCACTTTTGAGATTATAATTGTATTTTAATTATTTTATGCGCTAGCAATTTAGTAGTCTCTAAATTTCCTGTTTGCCTTATTCTTCTGTTTTACCATCTGCACTTTAAAGACTTCCTTTTGTTGTATGATAATTTGGATAATGACAGGTTTCAATATAGAAAGGATACTTCAACTCAGTGAGGCATATTAATTATGGATATCATATCAGATAGTTAAAAATTACTTTTCAACTAGAAAAAATCTTTTTCAGCAGAAGCAGAAATATGAGCATGAAATTGCAGGGATTGAAATACTTAAGTAATATGGAAAGCATATTTGATAAAAAACCTTCTCTAACACTCTTAAAATCATACATATTTAATCTTCATGAATTATAATACATTATGTTTTCATTTAGTGTATACTCTTTTTAGAGCTGATAAAGTCTAAAATGAGTGATCTAGCAAAAATTCAACTTTATAGAGCATAAAACAGCCTACATTGAGCTTAAAGGGTTATATACATATATAAGATATACATATATATATACACAAAAGTAAGATAGATAGATATTAAAAAATATATATATAAAGACTCTGCTTGAACTTGTAGGTATGCATGCCTGACACTGAAATTAACAGAAGTTTTGCTGGTGTAAAACCTGTCTAACAGGATTTATTCTCTGGACTAAACAGCAGTCTTGAAAAGTATAAAGTATTAAGACAGTGCAAAGGAGAAGCATTGATCTTAGAATAGTTGAGTTGAAAGTGACTTCTTCACTTTCCAATTTTTTGTTTATTCTGTTTACTCATTAACTATTTCATAGTGTCATATTAAAACAAAAACCAAAACACAATGCTCTGTAGAAGTAGGATCATATATGTCTGCTCTCCACAGCTATAGCTTAGTGGTAGCAGCAAACAAACCTCTCCATATGATTTAGCTCCAAGGGAGAGTCCAAGAATCATTCTTTGTATGGGTTACAAGAAAATAAACAGTGATGCACTTGTCAGTTAAAGCTCCTATTTAGTTTTTGCAAGTTTATTGCCAAGAAATTCAAGCTAAAACTTGTGGTTTTGCCCAATGGGTGTTTTTGGCATATGGGTGCTTGTAACGATTTAAAAAAAAATAAAAATTAGAATGAAGTAGAAAATGTATAAGTCTTTGCTTTCAAAGAGCATGATGAAAAAGTTTCCTTGGTTTGGTCGGTTGCTGGAGAAAGCCTATAATGTGGGAATACATGTACGTACATTTCTAAGTGGTGAGGTTTTTCCCATATAAATGGAAAACGCCCAAGATAAAGTAGACTTGGTTTTCTTTGAGGTTTTTGTTGGGTGGTTTGGTTTTTTTTTTTATAAATTCTGGTGAATTACTTTAAATGTTTCATTTAGTATGGAATATTTTTACTACTGTTGTGATGGTTTCATGAATGACACAAAATTCAAACCACTGCCTAATTATTTTGGTAGTTTTCTTGACATCAACTGGCAAGCACAATAAAATGCGAAAAACTGTGCTAGTAGCACAGATAACAGGGTTAGCAGTAAGCACGTCTTAGAGAAACGGGGATACCTTGATCATCCAGCAGCTCTACTAATTTAGTGTACTTTATATGCAGCGGGTGGCCCACTTCATATTAGCGCTGCCATCACATATATACACATGTACGAACATTGCATGGAGAAAGCAACAGTGAAAAAGCATTGTCAAGCTGAAGAAGGAACCATGAGTTAACTCTTTGGGAGTTACCATCAAAGGAATTGTTGCTTTTAGAAGAAATTTTTGTGGTGGTTTTTGTTGCTGGATTTTTTTGGGGGGATGGGGGGTTGGGGTCTACTTTGTTACTGGTTACCTGGACAGCTTGATTTCCATGGGAAATGCCACTTTTCTCACTTTAAGCTGTTTGGCAATGCCTGTTTCTACCGTTCTTCTGTAGTGCCATGGCAAGAAGTGTGCATGCCCATCATTTCAGTCTGTAGATTATGCAGATGCATCCTCACTAAAAGCATTCTTATTAACTTACCAAAAAATATTGTATAATGAAAGGAGTAGAGCTGATGTTAGGCTTTTGAACAGAAGTGAATAATAAATCTTGCAATGGAAGACAAATGAAAAATTATTGGGTCTAAAACTAAAAGTAACTAGAAGTAGGAAATAGTTCTTTTTTAAAAAAGAAACTGATCAATTTACAGTGACATCTGAAGCAAATTAAAATATTTTATTGTAGCTATATTGAACCTGTGATGTCATGATTTTCTGGTGGTTTGTGCGTGTGTTGTGTGTGTGTGCGCGCGCGTATGTGTGTATGTTTCTGTTTTGTTTCTGTTGAACTCCCAGGAAGAGGTTTAAACATGAAGGCAAAACTTTCAAACCTTAGCATGGCTAAACATGAAGCAAAGCTGCCATTTTTTTTTTTTCCTTTTTGTGCCTCCATGTAGATCTGTCACATAATTTAAGGAAAAAAGAAAGATACAATTTAACAACAGCAGAGCTAATAGTGTGAAAAAAAAACCCCTGATGAATTTTGTTTCCGCAGCACGATATTATCAAAGATTTAAGAAACAAATTTGCCAGCCTCGGCGAGAACTCTCTGGTAACAGCATAAATGTCTGTGTTGGTTTGCTTTTGAGTTAAAAGGTTTCTTTTCATTCATTTGAACATATTTCTCTTTTTTACCTCTTCTTTTTTAATTTATTTTTCATACCCTCTATTTAGCAAGCCTTCATTTTTTAAACCTCTTCCATCTTCCAATGTCTTTTTTCCGTAACTTGGATGGAAAGTTTATGGCAGCAAAGCTGTCATTCTGGCTACTTCTGCTGCAGCTGTTCCTGCTTTTAGGTCATACATGTTTTGGGCGTTGTGTTTTTGGACATGATACTAACTGATTGTGTCATGTTCCTTTTGAGTAAGCTTTTTACCACGCCATCCGATGGACTTGCTGTCATAGGGCTCTATGCAACTTCCATTTTGCAACTTATACTGCTTAGTCATCCTCAATTCTCCAGCAAACTTCAATTAACTTGGTGAAAGTTGAAACTCATCTGGAATTAACTGTGCCTTTATGTTTGCTCTTTATGTTCTTCTTTATGTTTTCAGTAGTAGTTTAAATTATAAAGATAAACTTCACCATTGCTCAAGCAACGCCATGCAGTATTGTTTGTTGCCGCTAGAGAATGCGAAATATAAAAGCACAGTGTATTCTATCAAATATTCTGTTGGTAGGGTGGGCAATCTATATTGTAATATAATGATATGTTTTGAAAAAAATTCTGAGAGGCTTCTGTTACACTGGTATTCAGCAACAACTTGCAACTCAAGAGCCACATACTGAGCAGTATGAAGTTATGGTCACACTATAGAAGATTATTAAGAGTATGAACTGTTGCACAAAAACACAGCACAAAAGTGCAAGTTTGATATATGCAGTATATATATAATGAACATGGGCTTTGAACTAACCTAATGATTTACAATTGAGATTACTCTTTTCAGATAAACTGCTAAAAGTATATTAAAGAAAAATACCAAGGGGAGAATATTACTTGAACATGTTAAATATCTGTTCAGTAGCACTGTATGTATTAAAATGGTCCATGATGTTGCCATAGAGCCCATATACTAAGAGAAAACCAAACACCTTTGGAGAGCTGGTAGTAACTGAAGCCCTCATCTTAAATGACTGGAATTTTTATTCAGGAAAAAGAAATGGAAAAACAAAAACTTCTGTATCAACAAGCCAGACTGCATGACCGGGGTGCTGCTGAGATGGTTCTGCAGACAATCAGTGCTAGTAAAGGTAATGTTTTGTTGTGTAGATTACATTTAAACCTTTTTTCTAATGATCTTTGAAATGATTGTAGTTCTTATTGGGCAGAACGTGCAGATGTTTGGCACTGAAGTTTGCTTTCAAAAGGCACCCAAAGTTTCAAATATTATTGACAGCTAATCCAGAAAAGTATAATGACTTATTCTCATTAGGTTGTTATTGCTATTGTTGTTGTTGTTAATGATAATGATGATAATAATAACAATAACAATAATAATGTAAATATTAATATTATTCTTCTAGTGATGATTGAGAGGAAGTGTGAAAAAGTTCATAGCTTTAGCAGTATGCACTGAAAAAAAGAACCCCAAATTCTGGAATGTGTACAGTTCTGAAGTAGGTGTAGACTTTGGCCCTTTTTTTATTACCCCACTCCCCAAATATCTAGTTTATTGGTGTTACTGCTATTACTTTGGTAAAACATTTCAGAAGTGTAAATGATGCTTTTGCCCTTTAGACACTATCTTACTCTCAGGTTTGATGCTCTCATTGTCTGTTCTGTGATTTGTTTCTATAGTAGTGATGTTTTAAAAATTTCTGTTTACAAATTTCATTTACTGTAACTAAGTGTTTTGGATCACTGTCATTTTCTGAAGAAACAGGAAAAAGATATCTAGACTGGCATGCAGAGGAGACATAGTGTTAAACTTGAAACCTAGCTTAAAATTGTGCACCCAGCCTTAAATCAACTGTTGGATGCTCTAGCGAATGAAACATGATTTACATTTGTTGAGCTCAGTTCTTCCTGTCTTATATCTGGCTTATTTTGTGTGCTGTGTATACATTACACTATGTCTGTAGGCACTCAGGATGATACTAAGTCACACTAGAGATCATGAAAGAAAAATAGGTCTCTTTTAAAAGAGAAACAAAAAAGCCTCTCCTCATAAATTACCATTTAAGTCATTGTATGGATAAGTTAATAGAACATTCTTATTTTTTTATATGATCTAAAAGAATATTTTAAAATAATTTTAAGGTGAGATGGGGCCAATGGTTGCAGCTACGCTAAAGCTAGGGATTGCCATCTT